GGGCGGTCGAGTCCCGAAGACGCCAGTCTCGGTTGACGCCTACGCTCAGCTGACGTTCGACGACGAGGAGGCTCAAGAGCGCGAGGAGGAGGAATACCGGCAGAAGGTCGGCTCGCTGCAGTTTGCGGCGACGACGACCAGGCCGGACATCGCTTTCGCCTGCAGCAAGCTGGGAAGCGGCCTCACGGTGAGGAGCGACCAGCATTGGTGCGAGGTCGGCCGCTGTCTCGCCTACCTTGCCGACACCCGCGACACTGCCCTGGAGTTTGGCGGTGGACCAGAATCGTTGGAGCTGATCGGCTACGTCGATGCCGAGGACGCGGGCGACAAGCAGAACCGGACAAGCACGGGAGGCTACGTGTTCGTCTACGGAGGGGCCGCAGTCTCCTGGTCGAGCTCGCGCATCAAGTGCGCGACATTGTCATCGACCGAGTCGGAGTACGTGGCGGCAACGGACGCCGGCAAGGAGGGGCGTCGACTTCACTTCCTCCTTGCGGAATTCAAGCTGCTCGACGCTGGGAAGCCGACCATCCTCCACGTCGACAACAAGTCGGCAATCACTGTTGCTAAGGGCTTGGGGCTGACGGGCAACCTCAAGCACATGGAGCGACGCTACGCTTAGCTGCAGCACATGGTGAGGCGCGGGAAATTTGTGCTGAACTACATCCCGGCCACCGAGCAGCCGGCGGACTTCCTGACGAAGGCGCTGCATTTTCCGGCTTTCAACCGGTGCTCTCTCGCCATCGGACAAGTTCGTCTGGTCGACGTCGGCGACGGCGACGACGAATTGCAGCAGTAGGTGTCGTGCCCTTCTGCACGGCTGGTGCGGTGACGGCGTGTTGTGTGAGGGGTGCACGCCGAGGACGAGTTCTCTCCGTGGAGTACTGCCGTGAGGGCTGGAGGCCCAAGCGTGAGCGCGGCAGGGGAGTGTTAACGGGAATGGAGTGTTGGCCCTGCCCTCGCTTGGGCAACGCCGACAACTTGGTCGGATGTACGGGAGTAGCAGCCGACCGCTCACAGTGGGATAGCTGCTCGACAGGTTACGACGAGCTGCAGCGGACCGCTGTGGTGTTGCTGTCGACCAGGATGCTCGACAGCTGCAACTGACTGGCCTGGGCGACGGGTGAGCCGTCCGGGAGGTCGACGAAGCAGTCCGTCGACCTACAGTTTGACGGGGAAGTCTATGGAGCATCCCGTCGAACTGCAACTCGACCGGGGAGGTCTATGGAGCATCCCGTCGAGCTGCAGCTCGACCGGGAGGTCAACGGAGCATCCCGACGAACTACAGTTCGACCGGGAGGTCGACGGAGCAATTCTGGTCGACGGAAGGGGTCCGTCGACCAAGGGGTAGCTTAACGGGAGGTGTGGTCGACCAAGAGCGCCCGGTGGTCGACCAGATGGACCCAGTGGTCGACGGGAGGCACCTGGGAGTCGACCAGAGCACCAGGGGTCGACCAGGTCGACCGGGTAACCTGCTCGACGAGTTCTGCGGAGGCACGCGAACGTCGTCGAGATCGAGATGGCGCAGGCGACTTCGGGCTGGTATCCCGAAGTCGATGTGGCTCGTCAGGCGCAGACAACAGCTGACGGATGCCCAACGAGGCAAGTCGGGCCAATCGTCTGCGCACACCTGCGAGCGCGCGCACTGCTGTGTTCTACAGGGCACGCCGTCGACCTGCTTTGTTGGCAGGTCGCCCTTCTGCAATGCTGGCGCGGCTCCTCTACGCAATGCTGGCAGGCGGTCGACCGAGCTGCGTTGGCGGTCGACCAGGCTAGCTGCAGGGTTGCTAGGTGCCTGATGTAGTCATTGTTGTCATTGCTTCTTGGATCATTTCTGGAATTCCAAATTTGCTAGTGAAAACTCTTGCCAAATTTTTCCGTGAATGTGCTAACACTAAGGAACCAAGCAAAGCTAAGAACACCTCTAGTAGTTCGTGCCAACCCCTGTAGTCTAGCTCACTACCGTTGTAGAGTTTATCTCCTCATGGGCCTGGTCCTCGGACCAAATGGAAACGTATGGGCCTGGTCCTCGGACCAAGTGCAAACGTATGGGCCTGGTCCTCGGACCAAGTGCAAACGTATAGGCCTGGTCCTCGGACCAAGTATAATCGTATGGGCCTGGTCCTCGGACCAAGTCGAAACGTATGGGCCTGGTCCTCAGACCAAGTGCAAAGGTATGGGCCTGGTCCTCGAACCAAGTGCAAACATATATGCCTGGTCCTCGGACCAAGTGCAAACGTATGGGCCTGGTACTCGGACCAATTGCAAACGTACGGGCCTGGTCCTCGGACCAAGTGCAAACGTATGGGCCTGGTCCTCGGACCAAGTGCAAACGTATAGGCCTGGTCCTCGGACTCGGACCAAGTATAAACGTATGGGCCAGGTCATCGGACCAAGTGCAAACGTATGGGCCTGATCCTCGGACCAATTGCAAACGTATGGACCTGGTCCTCGGACCAAGTGCAAACGTATGGGCCTGGTCCTCGGACCAAGTGCAAACGTATAGGCCTGGTCCTCGGACCAAGTACAATCGTATGGGCCTGGTCCTCAGACCAAGTCGAAACGTATGGGCCTGGTCCTCGGACCAAGTGCGAAGGTATGGGCCTGGTCCTCGGACCAAGTGCAAACATATATGCCTGGTCCTCGGACCAAGTGCAAACGTATGGGCCTGGTCCTCGGACGAAGTGCAAACGTATGGGCCTGGTCCTCGGACCAAGTGCAAACGTATCGGCCTTGTCCTAGGACCAAGTGCAAACGTATGGGCCTGGTCTTCGGACCAAGTGCAAACGTATGGGCCTGGTCCTCTGACCAAGTGCAAACGTATATGCCTGGTCCTCGGACCAAGTGCAAACGTATGGGCCTGGTCCTCGGACCAAATGGAAACGTATGGGCCTGGTCCTCAGACCAAGTGCAAACGTATGGGCCTGGTCCTCGGACCAAGTGCAAACGTATAGGCCTGGTCCTCGGACCAAGTACAATCGTATGGGCCTGGTCCTCGGACCAAGTCGAAATGTATGGGCCTGGTCCTCGGACCAAGTGCGAAGGTATGGGCCTGGTCCTCGGACCAAGTGCAAACATATATGCCTGGTCCTCGGACCAAGTGCAAACGTATGGGCCTGGTCCTCGGACCAATTGCAAACGTATGGGCCTGGTCCTCGGACCAAGTGCAAACGTATGGGCCCGGTCCTCGGACCAAGTGCAAACGTATAGGCCTGGTCCTCGGACTCGGACCAAGTATAAACGTATGGGCCAGGTCATCGGACCAAGTGCAAACGTATGGGCCTGGTCCTCGGACCAATTGCAAACGTATGGGCCTGGTCCTCGGACCAAGTGCAAACGTATGAGCCTGGTCCTCGGACCAAGTGCAAACGTATAGGCCTGGTCCTCGGACCAAGTACAATCGTATGGGCCTGGTCCTCGGACCAAGTCGAAACGTATGGGCTTGGTCCTCGGACCAAGTGCGAAGGTATGGGCCTGGTCCTCGGACCAAGTGCAAACATATATGCCTGGTCCTCGGACCAAGTGCAAACGTATGGGCCTGGTCCTCGGACCAAGTGCAAACGTATGGGCCTTGTCCTAGGACCAAGTGCAAACGTATGGGCCTGGTCCTCGGACCAAGTGCAAACGTATGGGCCTTGTCCTAGGACCAAGTGCAAACGTATGGGCCAGGTCATCGGACCAAGTGCAAACGTATGGGCCTGGTCCTCGGACCAAATGGAAACGTATGGGCCTGGTCCTCGGACCAAGTACAAACGTCCATGCAAGCCTGCAGATCCGTGCACGCATGCAGATCCGTGCACGCATGCAGATCCGTGCACGCCTGCAGATCCGTGCACGCATGCAGATCCGTGCACGCCTGCAGATTTGATGGACCAATGAATTTGAAACTCTTAAAGCCGCGGCCTACATACTTCGAGTGGGAGGGCTGAGATTATCACTTGAAAACAGGGTGACTAGTTTTTGGACTCGGCCCCCTTTTCTGCAAAGCTAACGGTTGAGAGGGATGGAGAGAGGAGGTTGGGGTTCTTTCCGCACGATACCAAACTCCCCAGGTTGTTTCCCGCCCTTCCGCAGAGCCTCCTCCAAACCACCTGTCAGCACGAAACTGGGCTGGATTCGCTTCTCCTGTCTGAGTTCGCCTGCTGCGGTGTTTCTGAAACATGCTGACTTCGTTCTCCAATCAGAACGCACGAAAGGGTGGGCATAAAAAATACACTCAAGAAACACCACTTGGTATGTAGACCGCAGCTTTAAGCACGCATGTGCATTCTCATTCTCCACGATAGGTTTGAATGTGCATCTCGTAGTGTGATAAGAAACTCACCGATCTGCAGCGCAGATCGCGCTGCTGCATCGGAGTCGTCCATCTTTGATCTCGCAGTCCTCTTGCAGAAAGTTGGTTAAAAACTCCTACTAAGTCGTCTCCGATTGGCGGAATGCGACGGATCCGTGTGTTACTGCGTGTGCTATGGTCTTCGAAAATTTGTTGAAAGGAAGCATGACCCTTGGAAAAGAGGAGAATCTGAGAAAGCCGGCTTACTCTCGCGTGGTATGCTAACTTTGAGACGAGAATGCTGAGAATGTGTTGTGTGCTGTGGCGTGGTGCAAGCTTGCTTGCGAGTCGGCATGCTAGTTCCAAGGGAGGTCCACATCGTAAATCGATGCGAACCAATCAAGTTGAGTCTAATAAGAGAGAGCTAATCCGGAGAGGGGAGCGCGCGTTGAGCTGGCGTTCTGGTGTGAGGATGAGCCAGGATGGACTTAAAACCGCCGCGATCCGATTAGTTTCTCACACCGCTCTTCTCGTCCCTCTCTCACGCTCTCATTCAGCGCGAAATCACAGACAAGGCGCGGGCGAGGGACGGACAGACGAGGCAAAAGTCAAGATACGGAAAGCAAGATCTTCGCGACTGTAATTTGCTGTGCGCGCGGTGCGCGCGAAAGTGCGCGTGGAGGAGCGCGCGGCGCTGCCCTTCGCTGCGACGAAGGGCGCACGGTCGTCAGGTGAGGTGGACGAGGGAGGAGGGACGGGCACGGTGGGGAGGGGGAAGGTGGTGAGGGGAAGGTGGGGAGGGGGAAGGTGGGGAGGCGAAGGTCGCGGCGCTGCCCTTCCCCGCGACGAACGATGCGCCGGTGCCAGGTGAGGTGGACGAGGGGGGTGCGGGGAGGGGAGGGTGAGGTGGGGAGGGGGGAGGTGGTGGGTGGAGGGCGCAGTGGGGAGGGGGAGGTGGTGGGGGGAGGGCGCAGTGGGGAGAAGGGAAGGTGGGAGGGGAGGGCGCAGTGGGGAAGGTGGAGGGTCGGGGAGCGGAGGGCGCAGTGAGGACGGGGGAGGGTGGGGAGGGGAAGGCGCAGTGGGGAAGGGGGAAGGTCGCGGCGCTGCCCGTTGCCGCGTCAGACGTGGGTGCATGTTTGCCCTCGCTCCCACATCTCTCCGCTTTTCCGCTTCTCGCCCCCACATCACTCCCTCTTCTCCTTCCCGCGAACCCCTCCCCACCTCTCCGTCACCTTCCCCCCTTCCCCTCCACCACACCTCTCTGCCCGCCTCTTTCGTGCCCACTTCCCCAAGCCTGCCTCCCCCTCCATCCGTCCTACCCGCCACCCTTCACCTCCCTCTCCCCCATTGCCCAACCCCTTCTGGGCCTGGCCATAACGGCAGCTGCCGCGCGCACCTCGGGGAGAGAGAGGGGCCAAGCTGAGGTGCTGCGCGGAGATAGAAGCACAGCGGGCAGCGCTGCCAGTGGTGGCGGGGGAGGGTGAAGGGGTGGAGGCCGCGGGGAGCAGCAGTGCTGTGTGCGGCGAGACGGGGTCGGGAAAACAATCAGTATCAAAGAAGTTCCGCAGGTGCTGTGGTGTGGGGGAAAGGGCAGGTGTGCGTGGTGTGGGGGAAAGGGCAGGTGTGCGTGGTGTGGGGGAAAGGGCAGGTGCGTGTGGTGTGGGGGAAAGGGCAGGTGTGCGTGGTGTGGGGAAGGGCCAGGTGAGTGCGGTGGGGTGGGAGAGGTACATGGAGGCCAGCCCTGCCAGCCTTGTGTGCGGCGAGACGGGGTCGGGCAAGTCCATGCAAGTGCCACTGAGACACTTGGCATGGTGTTACCGTATCATCATGCCATGAGATTTTTAACATGCAGATTTACATGCGTTGAACTGTAATTCATGCAATTCATCATAGCATCATGTGCTGCAGCTCACAGCAATTGTTTCACATTATATACATGAGCAGTTAGCGTATCCTTTTATGTCATTTTCATTCAATTTAGCATGACTCAATATGACATCCAACGCTTCGCCCCTTCCCTCCTTCTCCTCACCTTCTTCCCTTCCCCCCCCCCCCCCCCCCCCCCCCCTTTTCCCCCCCAATTCAGGTGCTTGGGACTGTTTCAGCACTCACGGGCCTCGAGCTTTGGGAGCTTGACAAAAGGCTCGCTAAGCTGAAGAGACCGGGCTGGACAAGGGTTGGCTTGTCATCATACAGCTAACCTGTTGCTCAAATACTGCTGGTACTGGTTGCTCAACTAACCTGAATCTGTTTCCCGTGCATGATCTCTCGCTTGCTGTCATTCTCGGGCCATCTCAAGCCCCGGCCACATTTTGAGGCGCCTCAAAAGTCATCTCAAGCCCCGGCCACATTTTGAGGCGCCTCAAAAGTCATCTCAAGCCCCGGCCACATTTTGAGGCGCCTCAAAAGTCATCTCAAGCCCCGGCCACATTTTGAGGCGCCTCAAACGTCATCTCAAGCCCCGGCCACATTTTGAGGCGCCTCAAACGTCATCTCAAGCCCCGGCCACATTTTGAGGCGCCTCAAACGTCATCTCAAGCCCCGGCCACATTTTGAGGCGCCTCAAACGTCATCTCAAGCCCCGGCCACATTTTGAGGCGCCTCAAACGTCATCTCTAGCCCCGGCCACATTTTGAGGCGCCTCAAACGTCATCTCAAGCCCCGGCCACATTTTGAGGCGCCTCAAACGTCATCTCAAGCCCCGGCCACATTTTGAGGCGCCTCAAACGTCATCTCAAGCCCCGGCCACATTTTGAGGCGCCTCAAACGTCATCTCAAGCCCCGGCCACATTTTGAGGCGCCTCAAACGTCATCTCAAGCCCGATAGGATGCAATAGGCATGTCGCGCTCCGTTCACATGCGACGGATGCAATAGGCATGCCGCGCTCCGTTCACATGCGACGGATGCAATAGGCATGCCGCGCTCCGTTCACATGCGACGGATGCAATAGGCATGCCGCGCTCCGTTCACATGCGACGGATGCAATAGGCATGCCGCGCTCCGTTCACATGCGACGGATGCAATAGGCATGCCGCGCTCCGTTCACATGCGACGGATGCAATAGGCATGCCGCGCTCCGTTCACATGCGACGGATGCAATAGGCATGCCGCGCTCCGTTCACATGCGACGGATGCAATAGGCATGCCGCGCTCCGTTCACATGCGACGGATGCAATAGGCATGCCGCGCTCCGTTCACATGCGACGGATGCAATAGGCATGCCGCGCTCCGTTCACATGCGACGGATGCAATAGGCATGCCGCGCTCCGTTCACATGCGACGGATGCAATAGGCATGCCGCGCTCCGTTCACATGCGACGGATGCAATAGGCATGCCGCGCTCCGTTCACATGCGACGGATGCAATAGGCATGCCGCGCTCCGTTCACATGCGACGGATGCGATAGGCATGCCGCGCTCCGTTCACATGCGACGGATGCAATAGGCATGCCGCGCTCCGTTCACATGCGACGGATGCATAGGCATGCCGCGCTCCGTTCACAACTCCAACAGTCGTGGCAGCTGCCCTGCCGCTTCTGGTCAATTGCAGTGGTGTCAACCAAATGCTCTGTGATATGGTACCTTCCCAGATAAGGTCATGTGCACACAACACAGGTGGTTGGCAGGCAACGCAATAGCTATGGCCATTAGCTTTGGAGGATTAGCTGGACATGTGTATTCCTTAGCTACAACTGTACGCGCTGCAAAGTCACACTTGGAGTATGTTAGTCAGCTGAGCCAACTCGTACGGCACCGGTACCGTAGCCTGAACTTGTTGCAGTGACGCACCTCTCTTTGACTCCGGTACATTTTGATCATCTAAGAATGCTTCCAGCATTCCAGTCCAAGGTTCTCACACTTGCTACAGACAAATTATGACTTGAACAATACGGTATATTCAGCTAAACACTGCCTGTTCTCCATCAAGCAAAACCAAGTGGTGCGTGTCCCCTGTGTTTCTATGACCCTCTTGTCACCCCTATTGGGCCGTTATTATGACCTGCTGCCAGTATCACCCTTCGCAGTGTGAGGCTGAGGTGGTATGCACAGCACAGGTGTGAAGCGATTGAAAGGAGGTGTAACGCAATTGAGGGGGCGTGGGGCATCGAGCTAGACCAGCCAGTTTTGGTGCTCCCTTGTCACCACGGCCCTGATCTGGACCGTTGAAGTGCCCCGCTGCCAGCAGCACCCTTCACAGTGTGAGGCTGAGATGGTGTGCGTAGGTGTGAAGCGGTTGAAAGGAGGTGTGAGGCGGTTGAGAGGGTTGTGTGATGCGGTTGAGTGGGGGTGTAACGCAGTTGAGTGGGGGTGTGATGCGGTTGAGAGGGTTTGTGGCGCATCGAGAGAGACCAGCCAGTTCGGGTGGTTCCCTCGTCACCAGGCCCTGACCCGAACCGTTGCAGTGCCTTGATGTCGGCACCTCCCTTCACAGTGTGAGGCTGAGACAGTGTGTCCAGGTTTGAAGCGGTTAAGGGGGGGTGTTATGTGGTTGAGAGGGGGTGTCGCGCATCCAGCGAGACCAGGCAGCAAGGGTGGTCACCATGGCCCAGACCTGGACCGTTGCGGTGCCTTGCTGCCAGCACCACCCTTCCCACCTGCTGCTGCTGCTGCTGCTGCTGCTGCTGCTGCTGCTGCTGCTGCTGCTGCTGCTGCACCTGGCAAAGGAGTGTGAGGGTGAGATGTTGTGTGCAGGTGTGAAGCGGTTGAGAGGGGGTTTGCCGGGAAATTGGACGGTCCGGCTGGTGGTGGTAGGAGACTGAGTGGCGTGCCTGCTGCCGCCGCTGCTGCTGCTGCTGCTGCTGCCGTTGCTGGCACTGCTGTTTGTGGTGCTGCAGATAGAGAAGTAGGCATGGCTGCTGGCTGCAGCGTTTGGGGAAATTGAGGGGAGCAAGACAGGTCCGAAGGGGAAAGAGGCGAGAAAACAAAAAAGATGGAGACAAGAAAAGAAGTAATATCGATGGTCGACGGGGATACGAATCAAATCAAATCGAATGTGATGATGGGAACGAGAACTTGCCAGAAGCTGCGCTGCTGAGTGACAGCGACAGTAATGTCAACGTGATCGCACTCGCTCGAGCTGAGAAGGGGTGCGCACGCCGTGCTTCGTTCACTCAATGCGCAATGTGCACTCACCATGCTAGGGTGCGCGTGGGTGTGGGACTGCAGCAGCAGCTGCTGAGCAATCACTGCATATTTCTTGACTCACCATTTGCGTGTGTGACTGTGACTGCAGCTGCAGCAGCTGGGAGCGCAGCTGTTCGTTCTCTTCCTTCAACTGTGCCACCTCCGCCTCTAACTCTACTGTATACGCCTGAGGTGGGGAGGGGGAGGGCATGGGAAGAGGATTATGTGGTTAAGCTCCTGGGCACCCTTCAGGCTCCACTGTGTACGCCTGAGGGGGGGGGGGGGAGAGGAGAGGGGAAGGGCTGGGTGCGCAGCTGCTCGTTCTTTTCCTTCAGCTGCGCCACTTCTGCCTCCAGCTCCACTGTATACGCCTGGAGGGTTGGAAAGTGGGGGCATGGGAAGAGGATCATGTGGCTAGGCTTCCGGGCACCTTCACATTCAGGCTCCACTGCGTATGCCTGAGGCGGGGTTAAGGAGAGGGGAAGGGCTGGGCGCGCAGCTGCGCCACCTCCGCCCCCGGCTCTACAGTGTACGCCTTAGGGGGAAAGGGCAGGGGGGTGTGTGGCATGGGAAGGGCAGCACGTGGTTAGACTTGAACGTGTGTATGCCTGGGTTGGGGAGAGAGGGGTGCACCAGAGGGGTGGGGCGGAGCACAGGAAGCGGTGCAGCATGGTGCAGCTTGGTGCAGCTTGGTGCAGCTTGGTGCAGCTTGGTGCAGCATGGTGTGAGGAGAGAGAGCACGAGCCATGTGCACGCAGACAGCCACACGGTGACCCTGTGCCGTCCACCCTGTGCCGTCCACCCTGTGCCGTCCACCCTGTGCCGTCCACCCTGTGCCGTCCACCCTGTGCCGTCCACCCTGTGCCGTCCACCCTGTGCCGTCCACCCTGTGCCGCACAGCATTCTCCCTCCTCTCAAAGTATCACGGGTCTTGACTCAGTGTGGCACAGCAGCAAAACAAGAAGATCTGGAAAACGCTTCTTCACCTCACCTCAACCCATCCCACCTCACCCCACCTCATCGCACCCCACCTGCTTCCTCGCCCGGGACCGAGCGGCTGACTCTCTATTCTTGATCATCTGCTTCTGCCTCCTCTCAACGCTTCATGAGTTTTCACTCACAGCGGAGGAGCAGCAGGCAATCACATAATGTTTTCTCACCGCACCTCACCCAACCGCACCTGCTTCCTTGCCCGAGACCGAGCGGCCGACTCCCTATTCTTGATCATCCGCTTCTGCCTCCTCTCCACCGGCGCCCCTCCCCCTTCCCCACTGCGCTTCCTCCCCCTCCGCCCCGCACTCCCCCCCACGCCCCCGCTCAAAGTGTCCCCATCCCCACTCCCCCCGCCTGTATCCGACTGCCCCCCTCCCCCTCCGCCGTCACTGCCCCCCCACCTCTCTCCCCCGCCCCCCACCCCATCCGCCGACACCATGCTCGCCCCAGCAAGCCCCCCCAACCCCCCTGCGCCCATGCCTGCGCCCATCCCTGCGCTCATCCCTGCGCCCATGCCTGCGCCCATGCCTCCGCCTATCCCTGCGCCCATGCCTGCGCCCACACCATACGTAGTGGGCACCAACCCCCCACCCATCCCCACGCCTCCCCCAACGCCTCCGCCCACGCCTCCCCCAATCCCTCCCCCCATGCCCATCCCCATGGCAAGGCCACCAGCAGGGGCGGGTCCCATCGCCCCCATCGCTCCCTGCACTCCCAGTGACCCCAGCAGCCCCCCTCCTTGCGCGCCCAGCGCTCCCAGGGAGTTCCCCCCCAGTGCTCCCAGTGAGCTCCCCCCCAGTGCTCCCAGGGACCCCAGGGACCCGAGGGCGTTGAGGGCAGCGGCGGCAGCAGCAGCGTGGCGTGTGGCGGCGAATACAGATGCCACGTGGCTGTGCCCTGCATCTGCCACCGCCGCTGCTGCCATCTCCACCACTGCTTGCTGCTGCTGCTGCTGCTGCTGCTGCTGCAACGCCTGCTCGCCTCCCCTTCCTCCCTCTCCGCCACCACCCCCACCTCCTCTCCCTCTCCCTCCCTCGCCTCCGCCCTGCCCCCCCTGCTGCTGCTGCGGGTGAAGCTGGTTCTTGTGCTGCTGCAGGAATGGCACCTTTGCTTGTCCTGCCTGCCCTGCTGCCCCCGCATGTGGGTGGAGTTCCCACCCTGTTGCCGCGGCTGTAGCTTTCGAATCATGTGCCACGTCAGCACTGCGGCCATTTGCCCCCACGCTCCCCATCCGCCCGTCCGTTCCAGTGAGTTCCCCCCCTCCTTTCCCCCCTCCACCTTCCCCCTCGCCCCCGCCGGCTCCGCCCTCCCCCTCTCCCCGCGCACTGCTGCCAATCCCGCCATTCGCCTCCTCCCCATCCCCCGGCTCTCCCCCTATAGCCGCTATACCCCCTATTAGCTCTTCCTTCGAAATCCCTGCGCGCACTAAAAAATCTTCCAGTGTAATTTCTGCAAACGACAATTGCCGTATTTGTTGCTGCCCCTGCCCCTGCGCTTGTTGCTGCTGCGCCTCCCCCCCTCCGCGAGTACCTTCCGCCGATGCCCCGCCCCCTTCCGCTGCTCCCCCCTCCCCCGCTAGTTCGGCCTGTATGTCTTTCCACACGTCTTCAACTGTCCGCGCAGTCTGCGCGCGCGGAAGCGCTGCGGCGGACTTCTGCCTCCGTAGCGAGCGCGCGCGCAGCAGCCCCGCGGCCTTGTCGCGCGCGCGCGGATCCGCGCCGCCGGCGGCGTGCGCGGCGGCGAGCATTTGCGACTCCTCGGCGAGCCAGACGGATCGCAGAAAGTCGTCCATGGGCATGGATGCGACGGCGTGCGACGGGCCTGCGAACGTCGCCTGGAATTCGTCGAGCGTGAGTGAGTAGATTGACGCCTGACGCGCTAGCAGCTCCGGGAACGCCATGGCGCGCGGGCGGAGGGCGGAGAGGCGGAGCGGCGGAAAGGCGGAGAAGCGGAAAGGCGGAAAGGTGGAGAGGCGGAGGCGGGAAAGCGGACAGACGCCGAAGAGGGGATTATGTACAAATTAGGCGCCGTTATAGGAGACGGTGACGAGCGGACGATTCGAGAGGTGCCTAGAAAATAGGTGGCGCGAGAGAGGGGAGGGTATTTACAAGGGTAACGGCGGCTATGCGACGGGCAAAGACATCAACGCTCTCCGCCGACGCCGGCGGCGGCGGTACTATGGGCCCACTCGACTTGTATTTGACACGTTGCGGCGCACTTTCGCGTCTAGTTGCGGTGTATTAGTAAGCTGCTAACGAAACTGTCAATAGAGTGGTTCGAAATTTCACGCGCCTATCATGCGCCTATCACGCGCCTATCGCGGCGCCTAATCCAGCCCGTCCCTGACGGCTCCCCCCATTCCCCTCCTCTCCCATCCTCCTGTCGCATGGTCGGATCGTCGCAAGGATGAGTGGCGCCGGGTGATCGCGGGGGATGCGGCACGACAAGGCAACGAGCACGCTACGGAAAGACCTGAAGGAGGAATAAACTGCGGATTCAACGAGGAGAAATTCAAAGGAGGTGCGGCACACGGAGGTCCGATGCGGAGCACGGCAGTGAAAGTGGGTAAAATCTAGAGAGACATGCGCGTGACGAATGGCGACTCGGGGTGGTATGTGGGATATCAGCGGAATGAAAGTGAGTGAACGTAGTAATGAGTGATTTCTGGCAGGTGGTGGTGCGAAGGGAAGAATGGGAATGGGTGGGAAAGGTGATTGGCGGCGCTGCAGGTTGCTTGCTTGATGCCAAATCAAGACGCCTGAGAAAGTTAGAAAGCGGTTCAATATGCTGCTTTGCGTTCCAGAGCGAGCAATCTAAATAGAGAACGGTTGGGCGGGGTATTAATCTTATGGGATCTGTATCACGTGCAACCCGATAAAGGCGGCCTCATCTGTTGTGTTACAGAGACCACATGAAACTCTTTTCACCGTACTCTCAACTCATCAGTCTTGCGTTTGGTTGTTGCTGACGCGATTCACGGGCTTGATTGGGTCGTTTCCTCCCCAGATTCCCAGGTTTCCGCCTTTATCTCGTGCACGTGTCAGCAGCCCATTCCCCCGTTAGCTGGCGAGGCACCTGCTCTGGGTCCGTTACAAAGAGGGTTCCTTTTCACAACAGCTAGATACACACTTGTACACTACGATTATTTCGGAAGTCCCATCCCATCCCCCGAACCCCAAGTTTCGATTCGTTCTGATCCAACCCAGAGTCCAATCACCATCCGATCTTCGCCATACTTCACCGCGCACTCAGAGATCATCAGCAGCCGCGTCGCGCGTGCTCTAGTCGCCACCAGCAACATTATTCCGCCCTGGCATTGGCAGCCGTCGAAGAAACGAGCAACGCCGCCCAGCGCGGTATCTCCAGTTATTTTCGCCGCGCTTGTTCGTTCTCTTCCGCGCAGCTTTCCCCGTTCCGCGCGAGTCCGGCCCATGGCCCTCCGCGTCCACCCCGCCTTGCCCCCGGGAACGCGCCCCTTGGCGAGTGTTACAGTAACGAGCGAACGCTATAGGTGGGTCGTCGCCACTGCGGCGTTTTCGTAAGCAATGCGCGCTCTATCGCACGCTGTAACGTCGTCTACACACGCGGTGTAGGCCGCATACGCTGCTGCGATATGAACAACCTTTCAGAACAAGAGCAGCTGCACTCCTCCCCCGCATTTCCCGAATCACCTACTCTTGTCCTCCTGACCTCATTTCTTCCCCACTTGATTCTAACTCCTCATTCCCCGTCGTTCTTGACTCTCGCTCCATTCTCTCCCCCGTCCCTCTCCCTGCCTCCCGTTCCCTCCTTTTTCTCCCATCCCCTCCCCTCCCTGTTCCCCCTCCCCCCCCCCGCTCTCCCATTATTTTCCAGAATACCCTTGCCCCCCGCGCGTCTACTCTCCTCCGCCCACTCGCTAGCCGCCGGTTCCCCCTTCCGCACCGACTGTTGCGCCACTCCGCCAAGCGCAGCGCGCGCTCCCCCCCGCAGGCGAAGGGCGTGGCGCGCAGCTGCTGCAGAGGGCGCGGGCGAGGCAAATGCGGGGGCGGCGCCGCTGGTGTCCGCCGCAGGCGATGGCGCAGTGAGGGCGGGTGAGTGGCAGTGGGGGAGGGGGGGGTTGCGGGTGAGTGGCAGTGGGGGAGGGGGGGGTTGCGGGTGAGTGGCAGTGGGGGAGGGGGGGGTTGCGGGTGAGTGGCAGTGGGGGAGGGGGGGGTTGCGGGTGAGTGTCAGTGGTGCGAAGAGGCGGGTGATTAGCAGTGGCGCAGTAAAGGTGGGTGAGTGAGGCAGCGTATCCCTTCCTCCGCTCCCCTCCCTCCTTCTCCCCCCCCCACTTCTCCCCTCCCCACCCTTCCCCACTCCCCCATTCCCCCCTTCTTCCCCCACTTCCCATCTCCCACGTTCCACCCTGCACCGTTTCCTCTTTCCCGTCTTCCCTCTCCTCCAGTCTCCGCCACACGCTCCGGTCTCTTCCGCTCGCCAGTATCCGGAGGGGTAGAGAGCGCCACGAGCGCCCACGGCCTACCCGCGCCAGCAGTGGCGGTGCGCAATCTGGTGGAGCAGGCGCAGTACGCGCAGCTCTGCTCCATCATGTCCCGCTCGCACCACCGCCGCAAGGGGTACCCCTTTGGGTCGCTCGTTGACTTTACCACTGACGCTGACGGCCGTGAGTAAACAAAGGGAAGGTGGGGAGGGGAACGGGGGCAGGGGGGGCAGGGAGTGGGATGGAAGAGCGTGGGCAGTGGGTAGGGGAATGGGAGAGGAGGGAAGGGCAGGTGAGGGAGCAAGCAAGGAGGGCAGCAGGCGCAATACGCACAGCTCTGCTCCATCATGTCAAGGTCGCACCACCGCCGCAAGGGGTACCCCTTTGGGTCGCTCGTTGACTTTACAACCGACGCTGACGGCCGTGAGTCGGGAAATGGAGGGATTGGGGGCATGAGTGGGAAAGTGGGTAAGGGGGAAGTGGGGAGAGAGAGGGGGAGATGGGGAGGGGGAGGTGGGGAGGGGGGAAGGGCGGGCGAGCGAGGTTGGACCGAGGATGGGAGTGAGTGTGCACGGGAAACGAGAGAGGGAGTCTGCTTGTTCCACCTTTTCCTGCTCTCCCCTCTCGGCATGCACTCGCGCAACCTCCAATCCGACCCGCGCTGCACCGTGGTCATGCAGATTTCACCTTCCCCTGCCATTCCCCTCACTCCCTCCACTTTCCTCTTCTTCCCCCCCCAACCCCAATCCCCCAGACCCCGTGTTCCTGCTCTCTCCACTGGGCATGCATTCGCGCAACCTGCAGTCGGACCCGCGCTGCACCGTGGTGGTGCAGATCCCAGGGTGGAGCGGCCTTGCCAATGCCCGCGCCACCATCTTTGGGGACCTCTACCCCCTGCCGCCCAGCCAGCAGGTGGGACCTGTACCCTTTTGTCGTCTACCCCCCCAGATAGCTGGTAGACACTAGACTAGATACATCACAGCACATGGGGGTGAAACCAAGTGCGATAACAACCCGTTAGCGTGTTTGCACCAGCACGCAAACAATCCCCTCTCCCTCCCTAACTCCTCCTCCCCTCCATGCCCCCCACTTCACATTTTGCCATTTCTCCCTCCGGGCCCTCACTTCACCTCCCTCCCTCCCTCCCTCCCTCCCTCCCTCCCTCCCTCCCTCCCTCCCTCCCTCCCTCCCTCCCTCCCTCCCTCCCTCCCTCCCTCCCTCCCTCCCTCCCTCCCTCCCTCCCTCCCTCCCTCCCCTTTGGTTGCGCCACTGGCAGGAGTGGGCGCGGGGCTTCTATGTGAAGCGGCACCAGCACGGGGCAGCGCAGCAATGGGGAAACTTCCACTTTTACCGCATGGATACCATCTGGTAAGTGCATTCATCTTGTAACCAGATTCATGCGGTAACCACATTCATCTTGTGACCAGATTCATGCGGTAACCACATTCATCTTGTGACCAGATTCGTTCGGTAAGCACATTCATCTGGTCATCCGGTAACCGCTTTTGGCACCATCTACTTACTGGGGGGGGTTGGCACGGTGGCATGGATAGACGAGGCTGAGTATGTGAAATGACGCCTACATACATACTTACACACTCTCTCTTGCCCTTCCCCCCACTCCCCCTTCCTCCCCCTTCCTTCCCCCTTCCTCCCCCTTCCTCCCCCTTCCTCCCCCTTCCTCCCCCTTCCTCTCCCCCCCCCACTCCCTCAGTGACATCTATTTTGTGGGGGGCTTTGGCACGGTGGCGTGGATAGATGTGGCTGAGTATGTGGCTGCCACGCCTGACACCGTGGCCACCAACCACGTGGAGCACACACTGCAGGTGAGAGGGAGAAGGTACCTTGTGCCAAGCTGAATGACAAGACCGGATAGGGGCCAAGCTGAATGACAAGACCGGATAGGGGCCAAGCTGAATGACAAGACCGGATAGGGGCCAAGCTGATGGTGGTGCTGGCGGGTTCAAGCGGTGAGGATTGTCATTCCGGTTCCTTTTTACGCCTTCCCCTTTCCCTCTCTCATTGTTCTCTTCAACAGGAGCTCAACGACCGGCTAGGGGCGGAGCTGAGGGCGTGCTGGCAGGGTCGAGTGGTGCATGCTATCATTGTGCTTCCACCATCCCCCTTTTTCCTCGTCTCTCTTGCTCCTTCCACCATCCCCTTTTTCCTCTTCTCTCATCCTCCTTCCACCATCCCCTTTTTCCTCTTCTCTCATCCTCCTTCCACCATCCCCTTTTTCCTCTTCTCTCATCCTCCTTCCACCATCCCCTTTTTCCTCTTCTCTCATCCTCCTTCCATCATCCCCTTTGTCCTCTTCTCTCATCCTCCTTCCACCATCCCCTTTTTCCTCTTCTCTCATCCTCCTTCCACCATCCCCTTTTTCCTCTTCTCTCATCCTCCTTCCACCATCCCCTTTTTCCTCTTCTCTCATCCTCCTTCCACCATCCCCTTTTTCCTCTTCTCTCATCCTCCTTCCACCATCCCCTTTTTCCTCTTCTCTCATCCTCCTTCCCCCTATCTGTGGCTGGCAGGAACTCAACGATCGGCTGGGAGCCGATCTAAGGGCAGTGCTGGCGGGGTCGAGCCCCCAGCAGGCCATCGACGACGCTTCGTTTATCAGCATCGACAGCAAGGGGGTTGACATCCGCGTGCGGCATGGTACTCAGGTGGGTGGAGACATGTGGCACGTGGGTGGGTGGGGTGACCAGGTGTGGCTGCGAGCCCCCAGCAGGCCATCACCGATGCCTCCTTTATCAGCATTCACAGCAAGGGGGTTGACATCCGCGTGCGGCATGGCACTCAGGTGAGGAGAGAGACGACGCACGGGTGAGAGACATGGAACGTGGGTGGCATGACATGGTACCCACGTGACTCTAGCAGCGAGCAGCCCCAGCAGGCCATCGACGATGCTTCGTTCATCAGCATCCACAGCAAGGGGTTGACATCCCCGTGTTGCACGGCACTCAGGTGGGTAAATGGGCACACAAGTGCATAGAGCGGGCTGCGCAAGTAACATGACATGGTACCCGGGTGACTCAAGCAGCGAGCAGCCCCAGCAGGCCATCGACGATGCTTCGTTTATCAGCATCCACAGCAAGCGGGTGGATATTCGTGTGCGGTCGTCACTCAGGTAGGGCATGGTACATGACACGACACACAGGTGAACAATGGGATGCTGCACAGGTGGGGTTGACATGTCATGAGGGTGGGATGACATGTCATGCAGGTGGGATGACATGGCATGCAGGTGGTATGACATGGCGCATGTGCATGTCTATCCACCCAGTGCTGATATGACACCCTGCACATGCCTCATTCTTCATAGCAACCCAATCTCACCCTTTCTCTCTGCAGTTCTCCGTACATAAAACGCACTCGACTCGCTGCCAGCAGCAGAGGCAGCATACATCCATCCATACTGCTCCATCTCCGCCCTCTCTATCCCTGCCCCTCTCCATCCCTCCCCACCCCTTCAGTTCCACGTGCAGCGCCTGTCCTTCACCACATCAGACGCAGTGGACTCACTGCCAGCAGCAGAGGCAGCGCTGCGCCGCATCCTCGCCTGCCCCTCGCTCGTGCTCCCCAACGGCACCCCCCTGCTCTGACAACGCCTTGCTAGCCCTAGCCCCTACCTCTCATGCACAGCCGCTCTCGCTGCTCTCATGGCTGCACAGCCCCTTAGTCGGTGGCCAACCAAGCCTCTCAGCCGCAGCCTTGTGAAGAGATCTGCACCAAGGTGCTCCTGTGCTGCTCACAGTTGCCTCCACATTTTCCAGAACAAGGGGATTTGTTCTGGGCTGAATGGATGGAGGCTCAAGCAAGGCAATCTGTGTGCTCACAGATTGTTCGCAGTTCAAAGGGGTGCTTTGTTCTCGAGTGGTTGGTGGCGCCAACAAGCGCGCCCTCACATCTCTGCTGGCTTGCATTGTCACCTTTTGAGGCGCCTCAAAAGCCAACACGTACGCACTCACATCTCTGCCTTTTGCTTGAACTGTTCTTGCCTGTTTTCCACTATGTTTGTTTCAGTTGTTTAGTTTAGCCATGCCATGTAGGATCAGTGCCGGATGTGCACAGCCAGGTCGATATTTATGTATTGCCCAACTTTGAAAAAAATGTACAAACACATTCAAGTGAGCCTGCCAAGCCGGCGGCCCATCCTAAGCTCACTCCTAACAGCAGCAGCAAGATGGGCACCTGGCATGAAAGAGAATTAACCCCCATTCAGCACAGCAGTCAGCTTCGCATGACTGGCTTAATGCTTGGCAGTGCGGTGCTGCTGCTGCATGAATGCACGCAGGCACAGCACCATGACATTCCGAGCTCGCTGCATCTGAGACAGTGGTGCTGCGCGATGCAGTGCGGTACCAGCTCTTAATGGTGCTTGGCAGTGCGGTGCTGCTGCATGAACGCACGCAGGCAGAGCACCATGACATCCCGGGCTCGCTGCATCTGATACAGTGGTGCTGCGCGATGCAGTGCGGTACCAGCCGTTAATGGTGCTTGGCAGTGCGGTGCTGCTGCATGAAGGCACGCAGGCAGAGCACCATGACATCCCGGGCTCGCTGCGAGGGCAGAGTGAGTTCCACCTCCTTGTCCGCACTCACCACCACCCGCATGCGCTCCCGTTCATTCGGTTCTGTTTCCACCTGATGGCACACGTGGTGCAAGTAGAGATGGGAGAGGAAGGGGGTGGAGGGCAGTGTCAGTTGCACCTCCTTTTCTGCACTCACCACCACGCACATGCGCTCCCGGTCGTTTGGTTCTGTCTCCACCTGACAGCAGAAGGGGGAAGAAGGGATGCTGAATGAGCTAAGACATCCTTTTCCGCACTCACCACCACACGCATGCGCTCCCGCTCGGCCGGCTCAGTTTCCACCTGATGGCGGGGGGTAGAGAAAAGGAGAGACACAGGAGGAAGGGGAAAACGAAAGGAAAGGGGTGAGTTCCACCTCCTTGCCTGCAGTCACCAGCACCCGCATACACCCCCGCTCGCCTGGTTCTGTTTCCACCTGATGGCACACGGGTGCAATGAGAGATGGGAGAGGAAGGGGGTGGGAGAGGGAGGAGGGAAGTGTGAGTTCCACCTCCTTGTCCGCACTCACCACCACCCGCATGCGCTCCCGTTCATTCGGTTCTGTTTCCACCTGCAGACGAGGGGTGGGGAGAATGAGAGACGGGAGAGAAAAGGGGAAAACAAAGGGAGCAGTGTGAGTTCTACCTCCTTTTCCACACTCACCACCACCTGCACGCGCTCACGCTCGCCCGGTTCAGTTTCCACCTGATGGCACACGTGGTGCAATGAGAGATGGGAGAGGATGGAAGAGGAAGGGGGAGGAGGGCAGTGTGAGTTGCACCTCCCTCTCTGCACTCACCACCACGCACATGCGCTCCCGCTCACCCGGTTCTGTCTCCACCTGATGGCAGGGGGTGGGAAGAATGAGAGATGGGAGAGAAAGGGGGAATTGTGTTACCCCAAGTTCCCAAACACTGAACCCTAACCTTTAGGTTCCCAAACCTGAGCCGTGAGTGTTACCCTGAAGGGCGGGTCGTAGGTTGCTCTGACTTCCACTCGGTTGATGGCAGCGAGTGCAGTGAGCTTCACCACTTTGAACCGCTTTCTACTGGCGTCCACCACTCGGTGCTCCCTCCGGCCCGACCGCCCCACGTCATGTGTCTGGCGAGGAGGCAGGAAGGGAAAGAGGGGAGGGGGAAAAGGAGAGGATGATGTGGAAGGGAGTGGGGCGATTGGGCAGGGAATTGGGAGGGCTGGCTGGTTGTATGCAGGGCATCGGATGCACGGCATGGCAGCACGGCATGCAAGGCATGGCATGGCAGCAGAAGATATGAGCACCGCAGCATCACATACATAGACACAACAGCCCATGGCTACCTAAGAATACATGTTCACATGCACACAGTACCGCCCCCAGCACTACACACTCCTCGCCACTGCGGGGTCTGGTGGGCACAGGGGAGGGGGTGAATGGCAAGCAGGTGCCCCCAGCACCACAGTACCGCCCCCAGCACCACAGTACCGCCCCCAGCACCACACACTCCTCGGCACCACCCGCCAGCAGCCCCCCCAGCACCATGTGTCCTCACTCATGGGCACTGAACTGACCTCCACTTTGGTGCGCCCGCCGCCACTATGAGATCCACATCCCTCGCCACTGCGGGGTTTGCATGGTCGCGCAAGAGCACGGTGTTCCATGGCAGCACGTGACTGCTTCATGCACCCACCCTCCCAACCCCCCAATTACCTCACACCAGCACCATGTGTCATGACTCATGGGCACTGACCTCCACTTTGGTGCTGCCTGCCGCCACTATGAGATCCACGTCCCTCGCCACTGCTGGGTCTGGATGGTTGCAGGGGAGGCAGCACATGGCCGTACGGTGTACCCACACAACCACCCAGTTACCGCACCCCACCCAGCACCACACCAGCCCCAGCACCACACCCCACCCAGCACCACACCACCCCCAGCACCACCTATCATGGGCACTGACCTCCACTTTGGTGCTGCCTGCTGTCACTATGAGATCCACATCCCTCGCCACTGCGGGGTCTGGCAGGGAAGGATAGGTGCACGCACATGGTCCTATAACAGCAGCACGTGACTGCTTCGTGCACCCCCCCAACCGCCTCAACTACCACACCCCCAGCACCACCTATCATGGGCACTGAACTGACCTCCACTTTGGTGCTGCCTGCTGCGACTATGAGATCCACATCCCTCGCCACTGCGGGGTCTGGTGGGGGGACAGGGGAGGGGGTGAATGGGCACAGCAGGGAGTGATTGGGCACAGCGGGGAGAAGGCACAAGTGAATGACGCAACAGCGCAGCGAGAGAGGCTGGGTGAAAGGAGGAGCAGTGCATAGTAATGCAAGAGGCACAAGCGAGAAAGAGGCGGAGAAGGGTAGAAAGAGAGAGGGGGCGCGATGAACATCGAGAGATTCTCAGGGAGAAAGGAACAAGGAGCAGGTCGAGTGTGGGTTTGTACGACCAATGAGGAAGAAGAGGGGAGGAGAAGTAGGTGCAATGCAGTGCAGGCACGTTATAAGAATGGGCAACTTCACGTACCAACGAGCACTTGCGGCGACAGCACTCGCAGCACCACCTCCTCCCCATCCCTTTCCGCTTCCCCCTCCTGTTGCTGGGAGTGCACGTCTTGGGCGGGCAGGGGCCGCAGCTCCAGCATGAGGCACTGATGCGCGTCTGCCACGTCAGCTTGGTATGTTGTGCCCGTTGCACCTGCAACAGGGAGAGGGGGTGGGAGGGGACAGGGATTACGGTTAAGTGTGTGAAGGGATGGGAGGGGCCGCAACTCCACCGTGAGGCACTGATGTGCGACAGGAGGGGGGAGGGGTGGGGTATGGACTACGGCTTAGCACAGCGGCACTCACCGGGTATGGGTTGCGGATCCAAAGCATGGTATGGGGTGGGGATCCAAAGCGTGGAACCCCCCTGGGGCCACGCGGAACCACTGGATGCAGCAGAAGGAGGGTCGCAGCCAGGCAAAGGGGGGGGGACGGATGATAGGGGTACGGCACCTAACCTCGCACCTAACCTGAAGCACTCACCGGGTATGGGGGGGTTCTAAGGCGTGGAACCCCCCTGGGGGCACGCGGAATCACTGGACGCAGCAGGAGGCGTGGGCACGGGCAGGCAGGCAAGGGGGGCCGGGGAGGAGGGTTTGGGGGTTTAGGGGGGCACTCACCGGGTATGGGCTGCGGATCCAAAGCGTGGAACCCCCCTGGAGGCACGCGGAACCACTGGATGCAGCAGGAGGAGGGGCGCAGCCAGGCAGGGGCAGGGGGCGACGGCGGCAGGTGCAGGTGGAATAGCGACGTGTGGTAGGGCCCTCCTGATATGCGCAGCGCGGTGTGCTCTGAGTGTGCGGGGGTGGCTGCAGGGCGGAACCCTGCACTCTCCGCCTCTGCTGATGCTCTGCTCTCTCGCCTGCCTTCTCCTTCCCCCGCATACCCTCCCCCTATGCCTCCACGCACTTGCTCATGCCCTTCCCCCACGCGGCCTGCCTGGCCGTCCTGCCCTCCTTCACGCCCTCGTTGCTCATGCACTCCTCGTTCATGCCTGCCTTGTGCCGCTCCCCTGCCTCCCTCCAGCAGCACGGCCCCCTCGCCCTCACCCTGCTGCTGCGCCCCCTGCATGCCCCGTGCCTCCTCTGTGCCTGCAGCCTCTCCAGCAGCGCCCGCAGTGGCGGCACTGGTGGCAGCGGGAGCAGCCAGCAACGTTTCAGAGGCAGGCGGCCTGTCTGCATCGCCAGGGGAGGCTCCATGGGGCCCAGCAGCAGTCTCAGCAGCTGGGGTGGCAGTCGCAGCCTCAGAGGGGGCTGAGAGGGCAAGGTTAGCAGGGGCAGCGATAGGTGTGGAAGTGGCAGGAGCGATGGGGGTGGCGGTGGTGGCAACAGAGTTGAATGAGCGCCCGAACGAGTCCAGCACGGTGGCGGAGCACAGCAGGTACGCGCCCACGTGGCGCGCCGTCACTGGCAGGCGCGCTGACGTGGCGCCGTCGATCGGGCGGTGCGAGTCGGAGCCGCTGCTGGCCTGCCACCTGGCGAGGACGGGATGAGCGGGAGAGGGGGGAGAGGTTTAGTGGCATGGGGAGGTGCGAGTCAGAGCCCCTGCTAGCCTGCCATCTGGTGGCGATTGATAGCACGCAGTACCCGTGATTGATTGCTTCATTTTCTATATGGGTGCGGATTGTTTCGCGTTTAGCGCTACCGACGGCCAGAACAATAATTTTGCTTTGCTATGGAGAGCACGTCTGTAAATATACTAACTCCAAAATGTGCTAGAAAGAGCGCGCCTTGGTCCGCGCGCGCGCCTTGGTCCGGGCGCGCGCCTTGGTCCGCGCGCGCGCCTTGGTCCAGGCACGCGAATGGCTGTGACGAATGGCTCAAGGGCAGGCGGAACAGCATGCAGGGCGTGCAGCACTAGAGTGGACTTCACCCATGGCGCACCAGTGCAGATGAGTCATCCAGCAGCCTGCTTACCATTGCATGTGGACAGCCGTGACAAACGGCTCGAGGGCAGGAGTCACGGAATGCAAGGTGTGCAGCAGTGGTGGGTAAACTCGACTCACAGCTCACCAACGCAAATGAGCTGGGCTCACCAGTGCCTGTGTTTCTGGGACTCACCACTGCATGTGAACGGCAGTGATGAATGGCTCCAGGGCGGGCGACACAGCATGCAGGGCGTGCAGTACTGCCCCCACCTCCGCCCGCCCCTCCACCTCCAGTGACACCGCCTCCTCGTCCGACAGCTCTGGTGTGCAGTGATGAGGGGTGGTAATGGTTGGGAATGGTGGAGGGTGGTAAGGGTGGTGGGTGGTGGTGGGGGGTGGGGTGGGATGGTGGAAGATGTTGGGGGCTGGTCGGGGTGGTGGGAGGTGGTGGGGATGAGGAGGCATAACAGAAGGCGAAGGGGGTATCAGCACAACACAGCCCCACCCATCAGCACAGCCCCACTCAGCAACACAGACAGACCCGTGCAAGGAAGGACTTACCTGGCAGCACGATGGGCCCCGGAGCAGAGAGCACCTCGTCGCCCCATGTGCCATCAGATAGCCACGGGCGACAGCTGGTGGGGTAGGGAGAGGGAGAGGGTGAGGGGGCAAGAAGGGGAATGGGGTTGGGAGTGGGTGGGGGACGATGTGACCCGGAGCAGAGAGCACTTCATCGACCCATGTGCCATCGGATAGCCACGGGCGACAGCTGGTGGGGTAGGGCAGGGGGGAGGGGGCGAGGAGGGAGTGTGGGAGGGAGTGGGGAACTGGTAAGGATAGAGAATGGTGCAGGCAGGAGTGTGAGAGTGGCACAGAGTGAGCAGTGGCATGGCATGACACCACATACTCCCATTCAGCCATACAAGTCAACACAGCCCCAACGGATACCCACTCACCCCGCCACCACACAGCAGCCATAGTCAGCCTCCTGAGGCACGTACGTGCGCCCCTCTGCTCCCTCTATCCGCTCCATTCGCCCATCCCGCCCCTGCCTGTACCACACCACCCACCCTAAGGGACCCCACTCACCCCGCCACCACACAGCAACCATAGTCAGCCTCCTGTGGCGCGTACGTGCGCCCTTCCGCCCCCTCTATTCGCTTATTGAAGCGCACCAATACCAATATCCCCTCTCAATGAAACCAACTCACCCCGCCACCACACAGCAGCCGTAGTCAGCCTCCTGAGGCACGTACGTGCGCCCCTCCGCCCCCTCTATCCGCTCCATCCGCCCATCCCGCCCCTGCCTGTACCACACCACCCACACATCCCCCTCCCCCGCTCCCCCTTCTCCCCTTCCACCCTCCCCTGATCTCCCCTCCCCCAGCCCGCCTTCTCCCCCTCCCCTCTCCCCCGCTGCAGCACACTCTAGCATCTCCCCTCCTGCCTGCAATACGCCCCCCTCCAACACACTAATGCACACACGGCGGTCTGTAAGGCAGGGGAGGAAGAAAGCAGGGGCGTGGGGGGGCACGGGAGTGGGGGAGTGGCGGAGCAGGGGGGAGTCAGAAACAGGAAGAGCAGGTGAGCGGCCGGTGGCAAATGTGGGCTACCTTATCCATCTCAAATGTGGGCTACCTTATCCATCTCAAATGTGGGCTACCTTATCCATCTCAAATGTGGGCTACCTTATCCATCTCAAATGTGGGCTACCTTATCCATCTCAAATGTGGGCTACCTTATCCATCTCAAATGTGGGCTACTTTATCCATCTCAAATTGCAACAGCAGCCGTGACGTGCATGCATGGTGTGCCTGTGGCAGCTTTCAAGCAGCAGCCATGAAGCTGTCTGTGCTTCATGGCTTATCCAGCACAGTTATTGCTGAGCACCTGGTGCGACTGTGCTGGTGGTGAGTGCAGCCACCTCCCCAAGAGCCCCATCAGCCCACACAGGAGTGACTGTAGCAGCGACAGCCAGAAAGGAGGGTACCTGGTGTGACTGTATCGGTGGTGACAGCAGCCACCTCCCCAACGACCCCATCGGTCCGCACAGGAGTGAACTCCACTCGCAGCCGACTCCCCACGTCCTCTGCTGTCACTGTGTACGTGCCTGCAGGTGTTACGCAGGGGATAGGGGGGGTAGGGAGGCAGGCAGGGCGAGAGGAAACCTTCAGTCAGAGAGGCGCCTCAGAAATGGGTGCAAACCTCCCCAGCAGCCCCATCGGCCCGCACAGGAGTGAACTCCACTCGCAGCCGACTCCCCACGTCCTCTGTTGTTACCCTGTACGTGCCTGCACAGGACAGGGGGGGCGGTTAGGCAGAGAGGCACGCAGGGCGGGGAGATCGTTCAAAGTTGTGTGTACGGCTCGGAAAGAGGCAGCTCAAAGACAGAGTGCGTCCTCCCCTGACACCGTGGAGTGAACTCCACTTGCAGCCGCCTCCCCACGTCCTCTGCTGTCACCGTGTGTGTACCAGCATGGGAGGCGGTAGGGAGGGATGGACGCAGCACGTGGGTATGGATCAATTCAGAGTGCGTATTCCGGGTCAAAATCCCCCCACCTGCAACTCATAGTTTCTCACCTTGCCGCCCAACGAGCTGCTCCTCCCCTGTGGCCGCCACTCTCACCCATGCCACCCGGCACTCGCCCTGCTGCCTGCACGCATAGGAAGGGCAGATTCCGGGGGGGCGGATGGGGCATACGTGGGAGGCAGACGGGGCACACAGGGGGAGGGGGGCGCATGGAGGAGGGCGGATGGGGTACATGAGAAAACAAGCAGCAGGGGACAGAGAGGGAGAAAAGCTGTAGTGCTTGCAGACATGCACAGCACAGGCAGGGCGAAGCACAGGCAGGGCGAAGCAAAGGCAGGGCGAAGCACATTACCCGCCATGGTAGAGCGCTCGACAGGTGAGCTGCCCTCCCAGCCTCACATTGCCCTCCACTGCCAGATGCACACACGCTGGGGGGGCTGTGAGGGCGGAGGGGGGGAGGTGGGGGGGAGGAGGCGAGGGTAAGGAGAAGAATGGAGGAGGTGAGTGCGTGAAAGGACCCCTCCCAGCCTCACATCGCCATCCGCTGCCAGATGCACATACGCTGGGGGGGCTGTGAGGGCGGAGGTGGGGGGAGAGGGGGATGACAAGGGGGGAGAAAAGTGGAGAGGAGAGAAACTTTGGAAGTGGGCTGAAGCGTGTAGCGATGAGCCGTAGCACTAAGATGAACACACAACAAGAAGAGAGCTGGCAGCCACTTGTTCACCTCCAGCCCCTCTCGCCCCTCCTTGCCTCTTTCCCTCCTTTGCCTCCTACCTGCCATGACGGGCCCCACAGGACTGCTCTCCACGGCCGCGCCCTCCTCCCCATCGTCCCGCACCCCGTGCTGCCCTCTACCATCCACACCCCTAGCTGTCTTCTCTCTTCACCCTCTCCCCCACTCACCCCTCCACCAGCAAACTCTACCTGCCATGATGGGTCCCCCAGGACTGCTCTCCACAGCAGCGCCCTCCTCCCCATCGCCCCTCACCCCATGCAGTCCTATCTCCCTCCAACCCAGGTGAGCAGCCTCCCACCTTCCCCTGCTGCCATTCCCATACCCTACCCCTCCTCTTGCCTCACCTGCCTACCCTACCCTTTGCCGCGTCCCCTACCTGGACTGCTCATCCCATGATAGGTCCCATCCCACAGGACTGCTCTCAACAGCAGCGCCCCCCTCCTCCCCATCGCCCCTCACCCCGTGCAGTCCTATCTCCCCTTGCTGCTGCCGTCCTACCCCCCCTCGCCTCTCCCTTACCCCTTACTTGGCATGGTGGGTCCCACAGGACTGCTCTCCACAGCAGCGCCCTCCTCCCCGTCGTCTCTCACAGGCACGCACACCACCACCACCACCCTGTTCCTGTTCTAACCCCTTCTTCCCTTGCCAGCCCCCCTCCCTTGCCCCTTACCTGGCATGATAGGTCCCACAGGACTGCTCTCGACAGCCGCGCCCTCCTCCCCATCATCCCTCACCCCCTGCCAGCCCCTCTCACCGCACCCCTTCCTGCCTCTTCTCCCCATCCCCTCCCCCTTCTTTGCATTGCTCCTTACCTGGCATGATGGGTCCCACGGGACTGCTCTCAACAGCCGCGCCCTCCTCCCCATCATCCCTCACTGGGACACACACCACCATCACCACCCGCCCCACCTCCTCCGCCCCCACTCGCAGCCCCCCCTCCTCCTCCTCCCCCTCCTCCTCCCCCCCCCCGCCCTGTTCTAGCCCCCCCTCTCCCCCTAGCGCGCCTGCTGGGTGAATGCGGCGCTTGTCACTCATGTCGGGCAGCATCTGCAGGGATGGAGTGCGGTGGGGATGGGTGGGGAAGGGGGTTGGGGAGGAAGGTTGTTGGGGTCAAGTCAGGCCAGATAGGAAGGTGAGTGGTGATCATGTGGGTGCTAACAAATGAGTGGCAGAGCTCAGTATTAGCAGCATGCTGGGCTGGCGGCCCAAACGAAGCAAGCCTACAAGCCAGCCAGTGCAGATGGAGAGGGACAAGGGAATCTGCTCACACATACCAAGCACCATTGCACACGCGTGTTGTCCTGCCTGCCGCCCGCATACGGAAGGACAAGTGGATGCAGCGAAGGTTCTCTAACCAAGAGCGCACGTGTTCTCCCTGCCAATTTCTGAGGTGCCTATAGATTCGTTGTGCAATAAGGGACTCGCACGTACCGAGAACCACTGCACCCACGTGTTCCCCTGCCTGCCGCCCGCATACAGATGGGCAAGTGGATGAAGTATATGTGTGCTCTCCTGCCGATTCCTAAGGCGTCTCAACAATCACTGCACAGCACGTACCGAGAACCATTGCACGCGTGTGTTCCCCTGTCTGCCGCCCGCATACGTCCACCTGGGCACCAGCCGCCCGCCCTCCACCAGATCGCCCTCCACCCACACGTCACTAACGGACGGCAGCGCCGCCCGGATCGGGCCGGCCGTGCAGACAGCCTGGGGGGTGCCGACCGCCCCGTCGGATCGCACAGGGGTGACGCGGAAGGAGAGGAAGCAGCCCACGTCGCTAGCGGACGGAACATGCCGACTCATGCCGCCCCCTGCCATCCGCGGCTGCTCGCCGTCCTCGTCTTCTACCAACTCGCCGTGTGGCCCCGGCTGGCCATCCTCGTCCTGGGCGGCAGAGAGGGGGGGTGGGTGGTTGGGTGGTTGGAACTTAGAAGGTGGTGGCTGGGAAAAGGGGAAGTGCTGTCAATCACTGCATTTTCGCTACTGCTCACTGCATTACACCACTGCCCACCGCATTTCCCCACTGCTCACCGCATTTCAATGCCACTCACCGCATATCGGTACCACTCGAGCAGCGAGTCCCCCTCGGCCCCTCCCTGGTACGTGTAATACCCCACCAGCACACCCCCCTCCTCCTCCTCCCCCTCCATGTCCGCACTCAGCACCTGCGGCTCGCCCTCTGGGCGGGAGGAGAGAGGGTAGAAGGAGCAGGGAAGGGCAATGCAGTGCAGGGAAGGGCAATGCAGAGCAGGGAAGGGCAATGCAGTGCAGTGAAGGGCAATGCAGTGCAGTGAAGGGCAATGCAGTGCAGGGGAGGGCAATGCAGTGCAGGGGAGGGCAATGCAGTGCAGGGGAGGGCAATGCAGAGCAGGGAAAAGAGTGAATCTGAAGCCTGTCCCAGCAGAGGACACGGCCACCGGCCACCAAGGTCAAGGGGCGACACTTGACGCCATCTGCCCTCACTGGCACCAACCGGTCATGCCATCCACGCGCCCACCTGTGACCGCACTGCACTAGTACACAGGCCTACCATTCACACACCTGTGACCGCACTGCACTAGTACACAGGCCTACCATTCACCCACCTGTGACCGCACTGCACTAGTACACAGGCCTACCATTCACACACCTGTGACCGCACTGCACTAGTACACAGGCCTACCATTCACACACCTGTGACCGCACTGCACTAGTACACAGGCCTACCATTCACACACCTGTGACCGCACTGCACTAGTACACAGGCCTACCATTCACCCACCTGTGACCGCACTGCACTAGTACACAGGCCTACCATTCACACACCTGTGACCGCACTGCACTAGTACACAGGCCTACCATTCACACACCTGTGACCGCACTGCACTAGTACACAGGCCTACCATTCACACACCTGTGACCGCACTGCACTAGTACACAGGCCTACCATTCACACACCTGTGACCGCACTGCACTAGTACACAGGCCTACCATTCACACACCTGTGACCGCACTGCACTAGTACACAGGCCTACCATTCACCCACCTGTGACCGTACTGCACTAGTACACAGGCCTACCATTCACACACCTGTGACCGCACTGCACTAGTAGACAGGCCTACCATTCACCCACCTGTGACCGCACTGCACTAGTACACAGGCCTACCATTCACCCACCTGTGACCGCACTGCACTAGTACACAGGCCTACCATTCACCCACCTGTGACCGCACTGCACTAGTACACAGGCCTACCATTCACCCACCTGTGACCGCACTGCACTAGTACACAGGCCTACCATTCACCCACCTGTGACCGCACTGCACTAGTACACAGGCCTACCATTCACCCACCTGTGACCGCACTGCACTAGTACACAGGCCTACCATTCACACACCTGTGACCGCACTGCACTAGTACACAGGCCTACCATTCACACACCTGTGACCGCACTGCACTAGTACACAGGCCTACCATTCACACACCTGTGACCGCACTGCACTAGTACACAGGCCTACCATTCACACACCTGTGACCGCACTGCACTAGTACACAGGCCTACCATTCACCCACCTGTGACCGCACTGCACTAGTACACAGGCCTACCATTCACCCACCTGTGACCGCACTGCACTAGTACACAGGCCTACCATTCACACACCTGTGACCGCACTGCACTAGTACACAGGCCTACCATTCACACACCTGTGACCGCACTGCACTAGTACACAGGCCTACCATTCACACACCTGTGACTGCAGCAGAGGACACGGCGACCACAGGCCTGCCCTTGACCCCATCTGCCCGCACCGGCACCAGCCGCACTGCCAGGTGCGACCCTATGGCCTCCAGAGGCACTGTGAGGGCCTGATGGGGTTAGAGAAACGACCAACGAAAGGGGCCAGAAGGGGGAAAGGAGAGAAGGGATCTCGAAGCTGATAATCCAATCCCGCATCAGACTCTGGCACCAGCCGCACTGCCCCGTGCGACCCCATGGCCTCCAGAGGCACTGTGAGGGCCTGGTGGGATTATAGGTGGTTGGACTAGGGATGGGCATTTGGCCCGGACGGGTCGGGTTACCCGACCCGACCCGCCTAAAATGGCGGGTCGGGTCAGGAATGCTGAGAATGTCGACCCGTCCGGGTCGGGTCGGGTTTACCCGGGCGGGTCGGGTCGACCCGTGACCCGTCAATGTGACTTATAGACGGGTATCAGCGACCCGCCGGGTCGGGTTGACCCGTCCCGTCCGGGTCGCATACCCAGTCAAATGACAGGGTTACCCGACCCGTTCTCTGCTTAGGGTACAATTTGGAGAGGGGGGAAACATCAGTTGGTTTTGATGTTTTGTTTCCCTCGACATTCAGATCCAGTCTCTAATCAAGTTAGTAAATCTCCACTGCACCTACCAAAACTCTTACAGTCTTCACTTCAATGTTAGCACTATTTTAATATTTATATTCATTATAGGCATAGGCGCTCCTGCTATTACGCAGTGTCGCACGACCAGGGGCGCAGCAGCGCACTCGCGGCCACGCATTGGCAGGATCGCGGCCACGCATTGGCAGGATCGTGTCCCCGCAATAGCGCGCTCTCGGCCCCGCATTTGCGCAGCGCGATCGCGGCACCACATTAGGGCAGCGCGATCGCGGCCACGCATTGGCGGGATCGCATCCCCGCAATAGCGCGATAGCGGCCTTGCAGTAGCGCGAACGCCACCAGCCAGAATCGCGGTCTCCACCTCCAGCATCGCGAACGCCACCTGGAGCAGCGCCAAGGCGCCACCATACCCTGCTGCTATGTAGCATGTTTTGATCCGACCCGACCCGACCCGTGGTGTAACCGACCCGGTTACGGGTCACAAATACCCGTTCCAACGGGGCGGGTCGGGTCACCAAAACAGAGTCAAACCCGACCCGCTAGCCCGACCCGACCCGACCCGTTAAGCTAACGGGTCGCCCTAAACGGGACGGGTCGGGCCGGGTCGGGCCAGATGCCCATGCCTAGGTTGGACGGAGGGAGAGAAAGTGGAAAGGAAGTGGGGCGTGTGGGTGAAGAACCATTCCACCTCACTGGGCCCCTCCTCTTGAGGCCCCTCCTCTTGAGGCCCCTCCTCTTGAGGCCCCTCCTCTTGAGGCCCCTCAGATCCCTCCCTTCTCCGCCCCCTGCACCCCCTTGTTGCGGCTCCTGGCACTCACCATGGAGTTGGGTGTTTCAGAGATGATGGGTTGCAGATTCGAAGTTAAAAGGGAGTGCAGTGTGTGAGTGAAGAACCAAGCCACCCACCGCACTGCACCCCACTGGGCTGCACCACACCCCATTGCACTCACCATGGAGTTGGGGGTCTCAGCAGTGATGGGCTGAAGGTCCGCAGTTGAAAGGGAGTGGGGCGTGTGAGTGAAGAACCACTCCACCTCGCTGCGCCCCTCCTCGGCCCATTGCAACCGCACTCGCACCCGCACCTCCCCACCCTCCACCAGCGGCCCCTCAATCGCCAAATCGCTCGCCCGCGGCAGCGCTGGTGGAGGATGGGTGGGGAGGAAAGGGAGTGCGAAAGAGGGAAGAGGGGCTGTGAGTGTGAAGAGCCATTCTCCCACGCTGTGCCCCTCCTCTGCCCATTGCAACCGTGCCCGCACCCGCACCTCCCCGCCTTCCACCCGTCCGTACCTCTCCTCCCTCCACCAGTGGCCCCTCATCGCCACGTCGCTGCCATGGGGTAGGGCTGATGGTGAGGTGCAGGTTGGAAGTGCAGGTTTGAGGTGCAGGTTTGACGTGCAGGTTTGACGTGCAGGTTTGAGTTGCAGGTTTGAGGTGCAGGTTTGAGGTGCAGGTTGGAGGTGCAGGTTTGAGGTGCAGGTTTGAGGTGCAGGTTTGAGGTGCAGGCTTGAGGTGCAGATTTGAGGTGCAGGTTTGAGGTGCAGGTTTGAGGTGCAGGCTTGAGGTGCAGGTTTGAGGTCCAGGTTGGAGGTGCAGGTTGGAGGTGCAGGTTTGACGTGCAGGTTTGACGTGCAGGTTTGACGTGCAGGTTTGAGGTGCAGGTTTGAGGTGCAGGTTTGAGGTGCAGGTTTGAGGTGCAGGTTGGAGGTGCAGGTTTGAGGTGCAGGTTTGAGGTGCAGGTTGGAGGTGCAGGTTTGACGTGCAGGTTTGAGGTCCAGGTTGGAGGTGCAGGTTGGAGGTGCAGGTTTGACATGCAGGTTTGAGGTGCAGGTTTGAGGTGCAGGTTTGAGGTGCAGGTTTGAGGTGCAGGTTTGAGGTGCAGGTTTGAGGTGCAGGCTTGAGGTGCAGGTTTGAGGTGCAGGCTTTAGGTGCAGGTTTGAGGTGCAGGTTGGAGGTGCAGGTTTGACGTGCAGGTTTGACGTGCAGGTTTGAGGTGCAGGTTTGAGGTGCAGGCTTGAGGTGCAGGTTTGAGGTCCAGGTTGGAGGTGCAGGTTGGAGGTGCAGGTTTGACGTGCAGGTTTGACGTGCAGGTTTGAGGTGCAGGTTTGAGGTGCAGGTTTGAGGTGTCGGTTTGAGGTGCAGGTTTGAGGTGCAGGTTTGAGGTGCAGGCTTGAGGTGCAGGTTTGAGGTGCAGGTTGGAGGTGCAGGTTTGACGTGCAGGTTTGACGTGCAGGTTTGAGGTGCAGGTTTGAGGTGCAGGTTTGAGGTGCAGGTTTGAGGTGCAGGTTTGAGGTGCAGGTTTGAGGTGCAGGCTTGAGGTGCAGGTTTGAGGTGCAGGTTGGAGGTGCAGGTTTGACGTGCAGGTTTGACGTGCAGGTTTGAGGTGCAGGTTTGAGGTGCAGGTTTGAGGTGCAGGTTTGAGGTGCAGGTTTGAGGTGCAGGTTTGAGGTGCAGGTTTGACGTGCAGGTTTGAGGTGCAGGTTGGAGGTGCAGGTTTGAGGTGCAGGTTTGAGGTGCAGACTGGAGGTGCAGGTTGGAGGTGCAGGTTTGAGGTGCAGGTTGGAGGTGCAGGTTTGAGGTGCAGGTTTGAGGTGCAGGTTTGAGGTGCAGGTTTGAGGTGCAGGTTTGAGGTGCAGGTTGGAGGTGCAGGTTTGACGTGCAGGTTTGACGTGCAGGTTTGAGGTGCAGGTTTGAGGTGCAGGTTTGAGGTGCAGGTTTGAGGTGCAGGCTTGAGGTGCAGGCTGGAGGTGCAGGTTGGAGGTGCAGGTTTGAGGTGCAGGTTGGAGGTGCAGGTTTGAGGTGCAGGTTGGAGGTGCAGGTTTGAGGTGCAGGTTGGAGGTGCAGGTTGGAGGTGCAGGTTTGAGGTGCAGGTTGGAGGTGCAGGTTTGAGGTGCAGGTTTGAGGTGCAGGTTTGAGGTGCAGGCTTGAGGTGCAGGTTTGAGGTGCAGGTTGGAGGTGCAGGTTTGAGGTGCAGGTTTGACGTGCAGGTTTGAGGTGCAGGTTGGAGGTGCAGGTTTGAGGTGCAGGTTTGAGGTGCAGGCTGGAGGTGCAGGTTGGAGGTGCAGGTTTGAGGTGCAGGTTGGAGGTGCAGGTTTGAGGTGCAGGTTGGAGGTGCAGGTTGGAGGTGCAGGTTTGAGGTGCAGGTTTGAGGTGCAGGTTTGAGGTGCAGGCTTGAGGTGCAGGTTTGACGTGCAGGTTGGAGGTGCAGGTTTGAGGTGCAGGTTTGACGTGCAGGTTTGAGGTGCAGGTTGGAGGTGCAGGTTTGAGGTGCAGGTTTGAGGTGCAGGCTGGAGGTGCAGGTTGGAGGTGCAGGTTTGAGGTGCAGGTTGGAGGTGCAGGTTTGAGGTGCAGGTTGGAGGTGCAGGTTGGAGGTGCAGGTTTGAGGTGCAGGTTGGAGGTGCAGGTTTGAGGTGCAGGTTTGAGGTGCAGGTTGGAGGTGCAGGTTTGAGGTGCAGGTTGGAGGTGCAGGTTTGAGGTGCAGGTTTGAGGTGCAGGTTTGAGGTGCAGGTTTGAGGTGCAGGTTTGAGGTGCAGGTTTGACGAGCAGGTTTGAGGTGCAGGTTTGAGGTGCAGGTTTGAGGTGCAGGTTGGAGGTCCAGGTTTGAGGTGCAGGTTGGAGGTGCAGGTTTGAGGTGCAGGTTGGAGGTGCAGGTTGGAGGTGCAGGTTTGAGGTGCAGGTTGGAGGTGCAGGTTTGAGGTGCAGGTTTGAGGTGCAGGTTTGAGGTGCAGGCTTGAGGTGCAGGTTTGAGGTGCAGGTTGGAGGTGCAGGTTTGAGGTGCAGGTTTGACGTGCAGGTTTGAGGTGCAGGTTGGAGGTGCAGGTTTGAGGTCCAGGTTTGAGGTGCAGGCTGGAGGTGCAGGTTGGAGGTGCAGGTTTGAGGTGCAGGTTGGAGGTGCAGGTTTGAGGTGCAGGTTGGAGGTGCAGGTTGGAGGTGCAGGTTTGAGGTGCAGGTTGGAGGTGCAGGTTTGAGGTGCAGGTTTGAGGTGCAGGTTGGAGGTGCAGGTTTGAGGTGCAGGTTGGAGGTGCAGGTTTGAGGTGCAGGTTTGAGGTGCAGGTTTGAGGTGCAGGTTTGAGGTGCAGGTTTGAGGTGCAGGTTTGAGGTGCAGGTTTGAGGTGCAGGTTTGACGTGCAGGTTTGAGGTGCAGGTTTGAGGTGCAGGTTTGAGGTGCAGACTGGAGGTGCAGGTTGGAGGTGCAGGTTTGAGGTGCAGGTTGGAGGTGCAGGTTTGAGGTGCAGGTTTGACGTGCAGGTTTGACGTGCAGGTTTGAGGTGCAGGTTTGAGGTGCAGGTTTGAGGTGCAGGTTTGAGGTGCAGGTTTGAGGTGCAGGTTTGAGGTGCAGGTTTGACGTGCAGGTTTGAGGTGCAGGTTGGAGGTGCAGGTTTGAGGTGCAGGTTTGAGGTGCAGACTGGAGGTGCAGGTTGGAGGTGCAGGTTTGAGGTGCAGGTTGGAGGTGCAGGTTTGAGGTGCAGGTTTGAGGTGCAGGTTTGAGGTGCAGGTTTGAGGTGCAGGTTTGAGGTGCAGGTTTGAGGTGCAGGTTGGAGGTGCAGGTTTGACGTGCAGGTTTGACGTGCAGGTTTGAGGTGCAGGTTTGAGGTGCAGGTTTGAGGTGCAGGTTTGAGGTGCAGGCTTGAGGTGCAGGCTGGAGGTGCAGGTTGGAGGTGCAGGTTTGAGGTGCAGGTTGGAGGTGCAGGTTTGAGGTGCAGGTTGGAGGTGCAGGTTTGAGGTGCAGGTTGGAGGTGCAGGTTGGAGGTGCAGGTTTGAGGTGCAGGTTGGAGGTGCAGGTTTGAGGTGCAGGTTTGAGGTGCAGGTTTGAGGTGCAGGCTTGAGGTGCAGGTTTGAGGTGCAGGTTGGAGGTGCAGGTTTGAGGTGCAGGTTTGACGTGCAGGTTTGAGGTGCAGGTTGGAGGTGCAGGTTTGAGGTGCAGGTTTGAGGTGCAGGCTGGAGGTGCAGGTTGGAGGTGCAGGTTTGAGGTGCAGGTTGGAGGTGCAGGTTTGAGGTGCAGGTTGGAGGTGCAGGTTGGAGGTGCAGGTTTGAGGTGCAGGTTTGAGGTGCAGGTTTGAGGTGCAGGCTTGAGGTGCAGGTTTGACGTGCAGGTTGGAGGTGCAGGTTTGAGGTGCAGGTTTGACGTGCAGGTTTGAGGTGCAGGTTGGAGGTGCAGGTTTGAGGTGCAGGTTTGAGGTGCAGGCTGGAGGTGCAGGTTGGAGGTGCAGGTTTGAGGTGCAGGTTGGAGGTGCAGGTTTGAGGTGCAGGTTGGAGGTGCAGGTTGGAGGTGCAGGTTTGAGGTGCAGGTTGGAGGTGCAGGTTTGAGGTGCAGGTTTGAGGTGCAGGTTGGAGGTGCAGGTTTGAGGTGCAGGTTGGAGGTGCAGGTTTGAGGTGCAGGTTTGAGGTGCAGGTTTGAGGTGCAGGTTTGAGGTGCAGGTTTGAGGTGCAGGTTTGACGAGCAGGTTTGAGGTGCAGGTTTGAGGTGCAGGTTTGAGGTGCAGGTTGGAGGTCCAGGTTTGAGGTGCAGGTTGGAGGTGCAGGTTTGAGGTGCAGGTTGGAGGTGCAGGTTGGAGGTGCAGGTTTGAGGTGCAGGTTGGAGGTGCAGGTTTGAGGTGCAGGTTTGAGGTGCAGGTTTGAGGTGCAGGCTTGAGGTGCAGGTTTGAGGTGCAGGTTGGAGGTGCAGGTTTGAGGTGCAGGTTTGACGTGCAGGTTTGAGGTGCAGGTTGGAGGTGCAGGTTTGAGGTCCAGGTTTGAGGTGCAGGCTGGAGGTGCAGGTTGGAGGTGCAGGTTTGAGGTGCAGGTTGGAGGTGCAGGTTTGAGGTGCAGGTTGGAGGTGCAGGTTGGAGGTGCAGGTTTGAGGTGCAGGTTGGAGGTGCAGGTTTGAGGTGCAGGTTTGAGGTGCAGGTTGGAGGTGCAGGTTTGAGGTGCAGGTTGGAGGTGCAGGTTTGAGGTGCAGGTTTGAGGTGCAGGTTTGAGGTGCAGGTTTGAGGTGCAGGTTTGAGGTGCAGGTTTGAGGTGCAGGTTTGACGAGCAGGTTTGAGGTGCAGGTTTGAGGTGCAGGTTTGAGGTGCAGGTTTGACGTGCAGGTTTGAGGTGCAGGTTTGAGGTGCAGGTTTGAGGTGCCGGTTTGAGGTGCAGGTTTGAGGTGCAGGTTTGACGTGCAGGTTTGAGGTCCAGGTTTGAGGTGCAGGTTTGAGGTGCAGGTTTGACGTGCAGGTTTGTGGTGCAGGTTTGAGGTGCAGGTTTGAGGTGCAGGTTTGAGGTGCAGGTTTGGATGCGGGTGGTATTGTCCTTCCACCCAACTTCAACCCGACAAAACGCAATTTACCTTAAGAAGAAAACGAAGGATGATTGGACTGAACTAGGTTGCGTAGACCTCCTAGAAACAACAAAAAAAAAATGGTACTACTTCTCAGATCTGGAAAGGAGGAAAACCAGATCTGAATTTTTGAAAATTCTGGCATTTGTACCCCACCTCTGGTGGGACATTTGACGCGTGAGTTTGTTTAAGACTCGCATACGATACATAAATCCCGCGAGTCTAAAAAAATCCGAGTTTTTTCATGAGTTTTTTGTACCTCGGAAGTAAAACTCGACTCGGCCGAGTTTTTTTGCCAAAAACACGAACTTGAGACTCAAGCTTTTTGAGTCCCTCAAACGAGTCGAGGAAAAACTAGACTCGTTTGCCCATGTACCCGACAGAGTAGGGCGAGGTAGGGAAAACCAGGAAAAGGGAAGGCAAGGGAAAGCAGGGGACGAAAACAGAGGGGAATGGCAAGGAAAGGCAGGACAGGAAGGGAAGGGAAGGCAAGGATGGGATGGAAAAGGCTGGGAAAGGCAGGGCAGGAAGTGAAGGGAAGCAAAGGGAGGGAAGGGCACGTACGGAGGCAGATGATAGGCGAGCGCGCTGTGACTGGCTCTCCGATCAGACCTGCTCAGTGGTACAGAGATGCGGTGATGAGGAGTGGGATGAGGTGACAAGGGGTAACTGACAAGGGGTTGTTGAGACGAGAAATGCATGCAGAAACCCGATGCAGTGGGATGAGGGACGAATGACCTGGATGGAACCACCTGGAACCACATGAAATTATTTGAAGGCGAGCGGTGTGTAGCGCAGCAGCACACAGCACCAGCAGCACAACCCATGTGTATGCTGTGCATCACCTGAGGAGGCGACTGGTGTGTAGCGCAGCAGCAGGTAGCAGCCCACATCGTCCGCCTGCACTGCGTACTCTCTGCCCTCGCCCACTGGCACTAGTCTGAGGAGGGGAAAGGAGAGAGGGTGGTGGGAAGAGTGGATGGAGAGGGTTGCACCTCACCAAACAACACCACACCCCCTCACACCACTCATACCACCCCAGCACCACCCATAACACCCCAGCAGCACCCATAACACCCCAGCACCACCCACGCCCCACTCACTCACCGCAAACGACCACTGTTGCTACCAGCACCGGCCGCACTCCTTCCGTCTTCCCCCTCCTCCAACCCCCCCTCCGCCTTCCCCCCCTCCTCCCGGAACCACTGCAGCAAACTCGCCCCCTCTGCTCCCCCAAAATAAGTTCCCCTCGCCCGCAGCACCCCCCCCAGCAGCGCCTCCCCCTCCACCGCCACCTGCTGCACCTGGGGGGGCGCTGGAGGGGGGGAGGGGGAAGGGCGTGGAGGGAAACGGGGGGGAAGCATGGGGGGAAGAGTGGGGAGAGAGTGAGCCCGCATAGGTATAGCTAGGGATGAGCAAAGGGCGAACACGAACATGTTCGTCTTCGCCCCTTGTCGAACACCCTCTTTTGCCGAACCGAACAGTGTTCGGTTCGGCGAACAGTTTAGGAAAAAACAGGTGTTCGCTGTTCGCCTGTGGAGGCGTGTTCGGGCGAACCTCGAACACTGTTCGTGTTCGTCGTGGGCAAATTTCAGCAGCGGCCCGAACACGAACGTGTTCGGGCGAACATCGAACACTGTTCGGCGAACGATTTGAGCTAAAAAACAAAACCTGTTCGGTTCGCCTCGAACACGTTCGAGGCGAACCGAACAGGTGTTCGCCACCTTGCTCATCCCTAGGTATAGCATCACCTGCAGCACTCCCCCCAGCAGCGCCTCCCCCTCCACCACCACCTGCTGCACCTGGGGGGGCGCTGGAGAAAGAAGGAAGAGAGGGAGGGGGAAGGGGAAGGAGATGAGCCGGCATAAATAAGCATAGACTCGCCCGCAGCGCTCCCCCCAGCAGTGCTTCCCCCTCCACCGCCACCTGCTGCACCTGGGGGGGCGCTGGAGGGGGGAGGGGGAAGGGCGTGGGGGGAAGCGTGGAGGGAAGCATGGGGGGAAGCATGGGGATAAGAGTGGGGCGAAAGTGAGCTATCATAGGCATAAGATCCCCCAGCAGCACCCCTCTGCGCCCACTCGCACCAAGCAGCCACTCTCACCAAGCAGCCACTCTCACCAGCAGCAATGGGGGGAGAGGTGGCAGAGGCGGGTTCCCCTTTCACCCCTGCAGCAGACACCGGGGTGAAGGCGAGCTGCAGCACACACCCACCGCTCCCCACCCCTCTGCACCCATTCTCACCGGCAGCAATGGGGGGAGAGGTGGCGGAGGCGGGTTCCCCCCTCACCCCTGCAGCAGACACCGGGGTGAAGGCGAGCTGCAGCACACACCCCACGTCGTGCAGTGAGAGGGAGTACTCCTCCCCACCCCTCTGCACCTCCTCCCTTGTTGTCCCGCCCTGAGCTGTGGGTGCCAAGCGGGTCCAGCTGACAGGTGGGGGGTGGGGATGGGAGGAGGGTTGTAGAGAAGGAGGAAGAGGAGGCGTTGGTTTGGGAGGGACAGGGGAGGGGGCGAGAACAAGCGCAGGGTAAGGTTGGGTGGGTGGGTAGGGAAAGTGCAACGAAGGAGAAAAAGCCTAGGGGAGGGGCAACCGAGAGGGAGAATCTTGAAGCATCTTGGAGGTTTTACTGCACTGCACTGTCCTAGCTAGCACCTGTACTGGCATGGCCCCCCTCCCACCTGTAATGGCACGGCCCTGGCTCACCCGAGCTCCACCCCACCTCCACCATGGCTATCAGCAGCACACCGCCCTCACACCTGTAATGATCTATGCTTATGGAAAGGCACATCAATGGGTATGGCCTCTCCTTCTCACCTGTCATGGCACGGCCCTGGCTCGCCTGAGCTCCACCCCACCTCCACCATGGCTGTCAGCACACCGCCCTCACACCCGTAAAGATCTGTGCTCAATACTCCACCATGGCAGTCAAAGGCTGGGTATCCTCTCTATCACTCGCACCTGTACTGGCATGGGCAACCCTTTCCCTCCTTCTCACCTGTACTGGCACGGCCCTGGCTCGCCCGAGCTCCACCCCACCTCCACCATGGCAGTCAGCACGCCCCCCTCCACCGCCTCCCCTCCCAGCGACACATGGTGCACTCGTGGTATGCCCGGGCCTGCATGGATGCACACACACACATGCATTCATGCAAGATAAACACACATCAGCTGAGATGAGAACACACACACACACACACAGTCTCCTCGCCAAGCCCCCCTCCACCGCCGCCCAGCGACACATGGTGCACTCGTGGTATGCCGGGACCTCTGTGGGAGCATAATGAAGGGAGGCAGTCAGTCATGAGAGATTCAAACACACATGTGCACACCCACACGTAGGCTCCACCACCTCCCCTCCCAGCGACATGTGCTGCACTTGCGGGATGCCGGGACCTGTGTGGGGGCATGGTTGCATGGAGGCCGTCAGGCGTGAGAGGTTCAAACACACATGTGCAAGCACAAACACACATGTGCAAGCACAAACACACATGTGCAAGCACAAACACACATGTGCAAGCACAAACACACATGTGCAAGCACAAACACACATGTGCAAGCACAAACACACATGTGCAAGCACAAACACACAAATACACATACAGCAGCAGTCAGCACACCCCCCTCCACCGCCTCCCCTCCCATAGGTGACGCTCATGGACATGGTGACCCGCTCATGGTCACCTGCTCATCCCAGCGACACATGCTGCACTCGCGGAATGCCGGGGCCTGTGTGCAGGAATGCATGTGCATGGGACCATGGATGCATGGTGCATAAGTGCATGGGTGCATGGGTGAGGTGAGGGGTATTCACCTACCAGGGGCCACTGGCGGCGTGGTGAGGATAAGGGGCGTGCAGGGCTGGCCGTGGAGCAGCGGGGTGCAGCGCACAGCGAGACACGCATGCAAGTCTGAGAAAACACAACCCCTGGGAGTGGGAGAGGGGACCTACCAGGGACGACCAGCGGCGTGGTGAGGATAAGGGGCGTGCAGGGCTGGCCGTGGAGCAGCGGGGTGCAGCGCACAGCGAGACACGCATGCACGTCTGAGAAGGAGGGCGTGTAGACCTGGTGAGATGGGCGACAGGGTGGTGGGATGGAGGGACGGGTGTGGGAGGGACGGGTGTGGGAGGGACGGGTGTGGGAGGGACGGGTGTGGGAGGGACGGGTGTGGGAGGGACGGGTGTGGGAGGGACGGGTGTGGGAGGGACGGGTGTGGGAGGGACGGGTGTGGGAGGGACGGGTGTGGGAGGGACGGGTGTGGGAGGGACGGGTGTGGGAGGGACGGGTGAGGGAGGGACGGGTGTGGGAGGGACGGGTGTGGGAGGGACGGGTGTGGGAGGGACGGGTGTGGGAGGGACGGGTGTGGGAGGGACGGGTGTGGGAGGGACGGGTGTGGGAGGGACGGGTGTGGGAGGGACGGGTGTGGGAGGGACGGGTGTGGGAGGGACGGACGGTGAGTGACACGCGCACGTCTGAGAAGGAGGGCATGTACATCTGGTGGGATGAGATGAGAGAGGGTGGACAGTAAGCTTATTGAGAAATACGACAAGGCATGGAGGCAAAAGGTGCACCGCACAGCAAGGCATGCATGCACATCTGAGAAGGGGTGTGTGTAGTGAGATGGGTTGGGATTTGATGAATGTTGTGGGCCAAGGCCAGTGTAGTGTAGCAGTGGTTGTGATGAGCAGGATATAGCAATGGCTATGGTGGCCCAAAGGGTGGGAGGGTGGGCAGTGGCGAAAGAGAACACATGGCCCTCCCACTTTCTTATCGCCCTGAAATTTTTCAAAGATGCCTCCTCACCTCCCCCTCAGCATCGGGAATGGCGCTGAACTCCGCAGCCCCTTTGCCCCGCCGCAGCCACTCATACCGCATCGCCACACCCGATGACACTGATGATTCCTCCTCCCCTCCCTCCCTCTCCTTTCCCCTCTCCCTTGGCCCAACTCCCTCCTCTCTCTCTTCAACTCCCACATCCTCACCCACAACCTCCTCCCTATCTGGTCCCCCATCCTTCCCCCCATCCTTCCCCCCATCCTTCCCCCCATCCTTCCCCCCATCCTGCCCCCCATCTTTCACCCCATCCTCGCCCCAATCCTCCTCCCCATCCTCCCTCGCCCGTGCACCACCACCAGTGCGCTGCAGCAGCAGGCGGCAGTGGCAGGGGCGGTCCTCTATGGGCCGGTCGAGCAGCAGCGACGAGAGGGTGAAGCCGGCAGGAAGCGTTGATGCCCAGTGGGTGGCGAGAAAGGTCACCAGGGAGGCTGGGAGGACAGGGGGAGGTGGGGGGGGAACGGAGACACAGGGCAGGCACACACAGTTGAGGGATTGAAAAGGTATGGGGCGGTCCAGCAGCAGCGAGGCAAAGGGTGTAGCCGGCAGGGAGCATGGGTGCCCAGTGGGCCGCCAGGAAAGACACCAGGGAGGCTGGGGAAGTGGGGAGAGGGAAGAAGGGAGGAGGGAACGAGGGAGAGGGGAAGGGGGAATGGGGAGTGGGAAGGTGAGAGACGAGAGGGGGGAGGGGGGAGGGGGGCCAGATGAATGTGAGGGCAGGGACAGTGGTAGGAACAGGTGGAGGTGCAGGGGCAAGGGGAGGGGCAGGGGTGGGTGAGGAGCAGAGGAAGAGGTGGTAGCCATCCCATGCGCACACACATGGGCCCGGTTTTGAGTCGACTCAAAACTCGACTCATTACACGAGGGGCAGGGGTGGGTGAGGTGAGGAGCAGAGGAAGAGGTGGTGGTAGCCATCCCATGCGCACACACATGGACCCGTGCCCTCCCCCCACACATGTGGGCACCTGTAGCAAGCAATTGCTGTGAGGAGCAGAGACATAGGTGGTACCTACCTGGTATGACATCAATTAGAGGGGACGGCGGCGGCCACCCCATGCACACACATGGGCCCGTGCCCTCCCCTCCCAACCCCACCTTGTGAGCCTGCAAGCGCCATTCACCCACCACAGGTGGTACCTGGTATGTCGCTAATGGAAGGGGACGGAGGCAGCCATCCCATGCGCACACACATGGGCCCGTGCCCTCCCCCCGCTTCTTCCACTGCTAAACGCTCATCATCACTTATAGCTGCTCACACACACATGCATGCATGCATGCGCGTGCGCACATCCACGGGTAAACACACAGAGACATGCACGCATGCACGCACACACACAGGCACACAGAAGCGCACACATGCAGAGGCGCGCACACATGTAGAGGCGCACACACATGCAGAGGCGCGCACACATGCAGAGGCGCGCACACATGCAGAGGCGCGCACACATGCAGAGGTGCGCACGCGCAAACATGAAGCACAAGCTGCTGCATTTATGTCTGAGAATAAATACAAGGAGGGGAGGGATACAAGACAAGGAAGGTGAGGAGAGCAGGGAGGAGGATGTTTTTGAGAATTCTCAAAAACACCCTGCAGGATAAGGAGAGCAGGGAGGAGGAGGAGGCACCTGAGGAGTTGAAGGAGAGAAGAGAGGAGGCGGCGAGCAGAATGGCAGCCAAGTGCGGAGCAGGGGCGTCCTCTATTGGGTTGTCGACCAGACGCAGGTGCTGAAGGGGGGTAAAGAGGGAAAGGGTGAAGGAGAACAAGGCTGAGGCCCCTCACTGTTCTCCTCGATTAGGAGAGCAGGGGCGTCCTCTATGGGGTTGTCATCCAGTCGCAGGTGCTGTTAGTTGGTGGGGGGGGGAGAGGGAGGTAGAAGAGGAAGGTTCGCTGGCTCTGCCCCTCACAATCCCTTATGGAGGGAGCAGGGACGTCCTCTATTGGGTTGTCGTCCAGACGCAGGTGCTGTTAGTTGGGCGCAGGAGAAGGGGGAAAGGGAGGGAGCGAAGGAGAGGCTTATTGGCGCTGCCCCTCTCAGCTACCCTCTATGGGGGGAGCAGGGGCGTCCTCTAGGGGGTGGAGAGTTGCATGGCACGGAGCAAAGAGCACAAAGGGCATGGAACACGGGTACATGGAGCATGGGTACATGGAACACGGGTACATGGAGCACGGGTACATGGAACACGGGTACATGGAGCACGGGTACATGGAGCATGGGGCACAGGGCTCAGAGGGCATGGCACTCGGAGCATGGATCGGTAGGCGGGCAAGGTGGGGCAGGGGCCTCTAGGGCGGGTAAGAAGGGCAAGGTGGGTCAAGGTGGGAAAAAGGTGGGTCAAGGTGGGGAAAGGTGGGTCAAGGTGGGGAAAGGTGGGTCAAGGTGGGGCAAGGTGGGGCAAGGTGGGGCAAGGTGGGGCAAGGTGGGGCAAGGTGGGGCAAGGTGGGGCAAGGTGGGGCAAGGTGGGGCAAGGTGGGGCAAGGTGGGGCAAGGTGGGGCAAGGTGGGGCAAGGTGGGGCACGGACCTCCAGAGCGGGCAGGAGGGGGAAGGATTCGAAGGAGGCGATGCTGTTGCTGCTGGCTGTGACCACCTGGAGGGGGCAGATTGTGTGTGGGCAAAGAGAGGCAGAAGAAAGAGGCGAATTGGCAGAGAGATGGTTTCAGAGGGCTCTCAAAATCCGACTAGATTCGAAGGAGGCGATGCTGTTGCTACTGGCTGTGAGCACCTGGTGGAAAAGAGAGGAGCAGATTAGAAAACAGAGAGAGGGGCGGATTGGAAAGCAGAGAGAGGGGCGGATTGGAAAACAGAGAGAGGGGCAAATTGGAAAGCAGAGAGAGGGGCGGATTGGAAAACAGAGAGAGGGGCAGATTGGAAAACAGAGAGAGGGGCAGATTGGAAAACAGAGAGAGGGGCAGATTGGAAAACAGAGAGACAGGAAGATTGGTGGCAGGAGAGGAACTGGCGGGTGCAGTAGGGAGGGGGGTGTGTTTGTGCTATGCTCGGTTCAGCTCGGTTGAGACAGGTTGTGGATGCGCACCTTGAGGCGGGGTTGGGACGGCATGTCAATGAGACAGAGCGAATTCTGAGACACTGAGAGAAACTGAGGGGTGTAGTGGGTAGAGGGGTGGGTGGGTGACGGGAGGATGGATGGGTGACAGGGTGGGTGGGAGAACGGACGGGGGAAAGCATGGGGTGGAGTAAGGAAAGAGAGGGAACAGAGGTGAAGAGGGGTTGGGTTGGGGTGGGAGGAGAGAGAAGCAGCTGAGGGTAGGAGAGAGGGGGATGGGGAGGGGAGAGAGAAACAGTGTGCATGGCAACGGTTGCATTGGATGGAACGAGTGTGAAGCAGGAGGCACGAAGGTAAGGAGAACGTGGGCATGGCATGGGAAAGAGCAGGCATGGCATGGGCATGGCGTGGGAGTAGCGTGGGAGTAGCGTGGGAGTAGCGTGGGAGTAGCGTGGGAGTAGTATGGGCATGGCGTGGGTGTGGCGTGGGTGTGGCGTGCGTGTAGTGTGGGTGTGGCGTGGGCATGGGAAAATAGCAGGACCCATGCCTCGAGGGAGGGGAGTCGAGGCAGTGATGCGAGGGAGGAGATGTGGTTACCCGCCAGGAACAGTTGCTGTGGTGGGGAGAAGGGAGGGGGAGATGGGGGGAAAGGAGCAACTTTTCAGTCAACTCAAAAGAGATGTGAGGGAGGAGATGTGGTTGCCCGCTAGGAATAGTTGCTGGGGGAAAGGGGGAGGGGGAGAAAGTGGGAGAAAGGGGGAAAGGAGACGGACTTCTGAGCTGACTCAAAAGAGATGCGAGGGAGGCGATGTGGTTGCCCGCCCAGGAATACTTGCTGTGGGAAAGGGGGAGAGGGTTCGGAGAGAAGGAGAGGGGCAGGGGAAGAAGCATTTGTCACAGTGGTGAGCGTGAGTGTTGAACACAGCACCGCCCGCTCATACGCTGCACCGACCGCTCATACGCTGCACCACCTGCACCGCGTGTCCCAGCTTCGAGACTGGAGCTGCGGTCCCAGATTGGGGACTGGAGGTGCAGTCCTGGCTTGGGGACTGGAGCTGCAGTCCCGGCTTGCTTACTGGAGCTGCAGTCCCGGCTTGGGGACTGGAGATCCAGTCCCGGCGTGGGGAGTGGAGCTGCAGTCCCGGCTTGCGGACTGGAGCTGCAGTCCCGGCGTGGGGACTGGAGCTGCAGTCCCGGCGTGGGGACTGGAGCTGCAGTCCCGGCTCGGGGACTGGGGCTGCAGTCCCAGCGTGGGGACTGGAGCCGCAGTCCCGGCTTGGGAACTGGAGCTGCAATCCCGGCTTGGGGACTGGAGCTGCAGTCCCAGCGTGGGGACTGGAGATGCAGTCCCGGCTTGGGGACTGGAGCTGCTGTCCCGGCGTGGGGACTGGAGCTGCAGTCCCGGCGTGGGGACTGGAGATGCAGTCCCGGCTTGCGGACTGGAGCTGCAGTCCCGGCGTGGGGACTGGAGCTGCAGTCCCGGCGTGGGGACTGGAGCTGCAGTCCCGGCTCGGGGACTGGGGCTGCAGTCCCAGCGTGGGGACTGGAGCCGCAGTCCCGGCTTGGGAACTGGAGCTGCAATCCCGGCTTGGGGACTGGAGCTGCAGTCCCAGCGTGGGGACTGGAGATGCAGTCCCGGCTTGGGGACTGGAGCTGCTGTCCCGGCGTGGGGACTGGAGCTGCAGTCCCGGCGTGGGGACTGGAGATGCAGTCCCGGCTTGGGGACTGGAGCTGCAGTCCCGGCTTGGGGACTGGAGCTGCTGTCCCGTCGTGGGGACTGGAGCTGCAGTCCCGGCGTGGGGACTGGAGCTGCAGTCCCGGCTTGGGGACTGGAGCTGCTGTCCCGTCGTGGGGACTGGAGCTGCAGTCCCGGCGTGGGGACTGGAGATGCAGTCCCGGCTTGGGGACTGGAGCTGCAGTCCCGGCTTGGGGACTGGAGCTGCAGTCCCGGCTTGGGGACTGGAGCTGCAATCCCGGCTTGGGGACTGGAGCTGCAGTCCCGGCGTGGGGACTGGAGCTGCAGTCCCAGCGTGGGAACTGGAGGTGCAGTCCCGGCTTGGGGACTGGAGCTGCAGTCCCGACTTGCTTACTGGAGATGCAGTCCCGGCTTGGGGACTGGAGCTGCAGTCCCGGCTTGGGGACTGGAGCTGCAGTCCCGGCGTGGGGACTGGAGCTGCAGTCCCGGCGTGGGGACTGGAGCTGCAGTCCCGGCGTGGGGACTCGAGCTGCAGTCCCGGCTTGGGGACTGCAGCTGCAGTCCCAGCGTGGGGACTGGAGCCGCAGTCCCGGCTTGGGGACTGGAGCTGCAATCCCGGCTTGGGGACTGGAGCTGCAGTCCCGGCGTGGGGACTGGAGCTGCAGTCTTGGCGTGGGGACTGGAGCTGCAGTCCGGGCGTGGGGACTGGAGCTGCAGTCCCAGCGTGGGAACTGGAGGCGCAGTCCCGGCTTGGGGACTGGAGCTGCAGTCCCGGCTTGGGGACTGGAGCTGCAGTCCCGGCGTGGGGACTGGAGCTGCAGTCCCGTCGTGGGGACTGGAGCTGCAGTCCCGTCTTGGGGACTGCAGCTGCAGTCCCAGCGTGGGGACTGGAGCCGCAGTCCCGGCTTGGGGACTGGAGCTGCAATCCCGGCTTGGGGACTGGAGCTGCAGTCCCGGCGTGGAGACTGGGGCTGCAGTCTTGGCGTGGGGACTGGAGCTGCAGTCCCGGCGTGGGGACTGGAGCTGCAGTCCCAGCGTGGGAACTGGAGGCGCAGTCCCGGCTTGGGGACTGGAGCTGCAGTCCCGGCGTGGGGACTGGAGATGCAGTCCCGGCTTGGGGACTGGAGCTGCAGTCCCGGCTTGGGGACTGGAGCTGCAATCCCGGCTTGGGGACTGGAGCTGCAGTCCCGGCGTGGGGACTGGAGCTGCAGTCCCAGCGTGGGAACTGGAGGTGCAGTCCCGGCTTGGGGACTGGAGCTGCAGTCCCGGCTTGGGGACTGGAGCTGCAGTCCCGGCGTGGGGACTGGAGCTGCAGTCCCGGCGTGGGGACTGGAGCTGCAGTCCCGGCGTGGGGACTGGAGCTGCAGTCCCGGCGTGGGGACTCGAGCTGCAGTCCCGGCTTGGGGACTGCAGCTGCAGTCCCAGCGTGGGGACTGGAGCCGCAGTCCCGGCTTGGGGACTGGAGCTGCAATCCCGGCTTGGGGACTGGAGCTGCAGTCCCGGCGTGGGGACTGGAGCTGCAGTCTTGGCGTGGGGACTGGAGCTGCAGTCCGGGCGTGGGGACTGGAGCTGCAGTCCCAGCGTGGGAACTGGAGGCGCAGTCCCGGCTTGGGGACTGGAGCTGCAGTCCCGGCTTGGGGACTGGAGCTGCAGTCCCGGCGTGGGGACTGGAGCTGCAGTCCCGTCGTGGGGACTGGAGCTGCAGTCCCGTCTTGGGGACTGCAGCTGCAGTCCCAGCGTGGGGACTGGAGCCGCAGTCCCGGCTTGGGGACTGGAGCTGCAATCCCGGCTTGGGGACTGGAGCTGCAGTCCCGGCGTGGAGACTGGGGCTGCAGTCTTGGCGTGGGGACTGGAGCTGCAGTCCCGGCGTGGGGACTGGAGCTGCAGTCCCAGCGTGGGAACTGGAGGCGCAGTCCCGGCTTGGGGACTGGAGCTGCAGTCCCGGCTTGGGGACTGGAGCTGCAGTCCCGGCGTGGGGACTGGAGCTGCAGTCCCGGCTTGGGGACTGGAGATGCAGTCCCGGCTTGGGGACTGGAGCTGCAGTCCCGGCTTGGGGACTGGAGCTGCAGTCCCGGCTTGGGGACTGGAGCTGCAGTCCCGGCGTGGGGACTGGAGCTGCAGTCTTGGCGTGGGGACTGGAGCTGCAGTCCGGGCGTGGGGACTGGAGCTGCAGTCCCAGCGTGGGAACTGGAGGCGCAGTCCCGGCTTGGGGACTGGAGCTGCAGTCCCGGCTTGGGGACTGGAGCTGCAGTCCCGGCTTGGGGACTGGAGCTGCAATCCCGGCTTGGGGACTGGAGCTGCAGTCCCGGCGTGGGGACTGGAGCTGCAGTCTTGGCGTGGGGACTGGAGCTGCAGTCCGGGCGTGGGGACTGGAGCTGCAGTCCCAGCGTGGGAACTGGAGGCGCAGTCCCGGCTTGGGGACTGGAGCTGCAGTCCCGGCTTGGGGACTGGAGCTGCAGTCCCGGCGTGGGGACTGGAGCTGCAGTCCCGTCGTGGGGACTGGAGCTGCAGTCCCGTCTTGGGGACTGCAGCTGCAGTCCCAGCGTGGGGACTGGAGCCGCAGTCCCGGCTTGGGGACTGGAGCTGCAATCCCGGCTTGGGGACTGGAGCTGCAGTCCCGGCGTGGAGACTGGGGCTGCAGTCTTGGCGTGGGGACTGGAGCTGCAGTCCCGGCGTGGGGACTGGAGCTGCAGTCCCAGCGTGGGAACTGGAGGCGCAGTCCCGGCTTGGGGACTGGAGCTGCAGTCCCGGCTTGGGGACTGGAGCTGCAGTCCCGGCGTGGGGACTGGAGCTGCAGTCCCGGCTTGGGGACTGGAGATGCAGTCCCGGCTTGGGGACTGGAGCTGCAGTCCCGGCTTGGGGACTGGAGCTGCAGTCCCGGCTTGGGGACTGGAGCTGCAGTCCCGGCGTGGGGACTGGAGCTGCAGTCCCGGCTTGGGGACTGGAGATGCAGTCCCGGCTTGGGGACTGGAGCTGCAGTCCCGGCTTGGGGACTGGAGCTGCAGTCCCGGCGTGGGGACTGGAGCTGCAGTCCCGGGGTGGGGACTGGAGCTGCAGTCCCGGCGTGGGGACTGGAGCTGCAGTCCCGGCTTGGGGACTGGAGCTGCAGCTGGCTTGGGGAGTGGAGCTGCAGTCGCGGCTTGGGGACTGGAGCTGCAGTCCGGGCGTGGGGACTGGAGCTGCAGACCCGGCTTGGGGACTGGAGCTGCAATCCCGGCTTGGGGACTGGAGCTGCAGTCCTGGCGTGGGGACAGGACTGAGAGAGCACAGGGCTGTGCTTTGTGATGAAACAACCTTTAACGAGTCCATCCGCGACGGCACAATCAAGCACCAGCGCCAAGGAGGCAGCTGGTCGTAACTCACGTCCAGGACATAAGGAATGGGATGCACTCATTCTCACCGCACACAACTGTTTCTCACCACACAATATTCCTTCTCACCACACGTGACTCCTTCTCACCGCACACAACTCCTCCTCACCGCCGCCTCGCTGTCACTCACCTGCAGGGACGCGCATGCAGCTAGTGGCGCCAGGGAAGCCTCTCCCAGCTGGTTGTAGCTCACGTCTAGCACCTGGGGTGGGTGTGGTGCACGCCCCGTGCTGACTCCTTCTCACCGCACTCAAATCCTCCTCACCGTTGTCTGTCACTTACCTGCAGGGACGCGCATGCAGCTAGTGGCGCCAGGGAAGCCTCTCCCAGCTGGTTGTAGCTCACGTCTAGCACCTGGGGTGGTGGAGGAGGGGGGGAGATTGGCGAGAAGGGAGAGGTGGAAGAGTGAGGTCAGCTGGCTGTAGATCAGGTCTAGCACCTGGGGAGGTGGAGGGGGAAGGGGGCGGTGGGGGGAAGGCGGGCCGCGGGGGGGGAGATTGGAGAGAATAGAGAGGTGGAACAGAGAGGTCAGCTGGCTGCAGCTCACGTTTAGGGCCCGGTGGGGGAGATGGGGTGGAAGGGGAGGGTTTGAAGCGGGGATGGGGAGAGAGGAGGGAGAGCACGCACGGGGCTGAGTTGTGGCTCATGGTTAGCACCTTTTTTTACTTTGTTTACCAGCTTTGACCTTGTTGACTCACCTTGACCGGCGTTGACTCACCTTGACCAGCGTTGTCTCTCCTTGACCTTTTTTAGTCGCTCGATGCCGTCCATTGTTGTGAGCTTCCTTCGAACTCACTGGCCTTGACTCGCTTTGAGCTTGCTTTGACCAGCGTTGACTCACCTTGACCAGCGTTGACTCACCTTGACCTTCTTGAGACGCTCGATGCCGTCCATTGCTGTCAGCTTGTTGCCCCTCAGATACACAAACTGTGACATGGATGCACGCATGCATGCACACATGGATGAAAGCACACATGCACATATGTATGCACACAGTCGCACACACACACACACACACACACACACACACACGCACACACACACGCACGCACACACACGCACACAGACATGCACACGCAGACGTTAGCAAACGGGAGTACGAATAAGGGCACACAAGCAGAATCAGAAGCGCAGGGGCATTAACAGGCATGCGACCCCATGAGGCACGCACACCCACACAGTCTATAGCGCCTGCCTCAGCCGCGGTGAGCCCACTGCCCCACACCTGAGCAGCACCTGAGCAGCACCTGCCACAAGCCCACCTGAGCAGCAGGCGGCAGGTGCAGCGTATCTGCCTTGAGGCTTCTGATGCGCTGCGACCGCAGGTCCACCCGCTGGTGATTTGAGGGGAGGTGGGATCGGGGGGGGTTACATGGGTGACGGGGAAGGGGGAATGCGGATGACGTGTGTGTGCAGGTGCAGCGTGTGGGAATTGAGTCTTGTGATGCGCTGCGACCGCAGATCCACGCGCTGGTGAGGGGGAATGAGGGGGGAAGGGGAGATGTAGGGGAGGAGGGAGGGAGGGACGGTTACGGAATGTGTGTAGGGGGAGAAGGCGGCAGGTGCAGGGTGTCTGCCTTGAGGCTTCTGATGCGCTGAGACCGCAGGTCAACGCGCTGGTAGGGGGGAGTTGAGGGATGGGGATGAGGGGGGAGGGGGAAGGAGAAGAGGAGGGAGGAGGAGAAGAGGACTGAGGGGGGGCGCTTGTGATGCGCTGTGTCGGCGAACCTTCCTCCTCTCAGCCGCCGCTCTCCTTCATGCACCTCCTCTTACCATGCACCTGCTCTTCTTCCTGCACCTGTTCTTCTCATGCCGACTCTCCAGTTTCCTCCTTCTCCCTTTTTGCACAGCCTCACTTACCCACATGAAAGAGGCTGATCTCTTTCACCCCGTAGGTTCCCTATTAGTGTCGTGCTGTCGTGTGCTAGAGCCTGAGACAATCAGTTTCACTAGTGCAAGGGAATATTAGCGAGAAAGCATCGATGGGTTGGAGGTGAGTGACCTTACCCCACCCCTGGCTGCACATTTCCAAAATGTGCGGCTCGGGGTTGGGGTTCGTTGGTTTCACATTTCGCCTTTCAGATTCTTTCCCCCTTTTTATCTCAACCGCTCTTATCCTGTTTCCCCCCTTCTACACCCTCGCTCCTAACAGTAACTTTACTACATCCTACACCTATTACCTATATTCTTATTCCTATCTCATCTTCCTATGGACTTAGGATGAAACCCACACTCCACCATCATTCTACTGTTATTGCATATGCATTAAGTGCATATGCGGTGACAGCTGTCGGCGAACCTTCCTCCTCTCAGCCGCCGCTCTCCTTCATGCACCTCCTCTTACCATGCACCTGCTCTTCTTCCTGCACCTGTTCTTCTCATGCCGACTCTCCAGTTTCCTCCTCCTCCCTTTTTGCACAGCCTCACTTACCCACTGCCCCCTCCTGTGCTCGTGCTCTAGCTGCCTGAGCCCGAGTCACAGGACCTGCTTGGTGAGGCTTGCTCCCCCTCACCATGGCCGTATTGCTCTGGTGCTCCTTCAGGAGTGCCCCTGTGTCATTTTCCAGAACCAACACCCCTGAGGGACGGACCTCCTTCACCCTCCACCTCTCCGTGCCCACCCCAACATCCAGCGTGTCTTGCTTTGCCCGCTTCAAGTACACTTCTTGCCCCTGACTCACTCCCTTCCTGGGTCTGTCCCCCGCCCCTTGCTGTTGCCTCTGCTCATATCTCCGAGCATCCCGCAGCTGTGCGGTGTGGAGATTCTCCAATGCTGCTGGCATCATCACTCGTAGGTATCTTGCCCTGGCCTCGGATAGCGCCACCCAGTTCTCTATCGTCCCTGCAGTCACAGTGTCTGTAAGGACCCGGGTTGCTCCCACCGGCAGCAGCGGCTCACACCCATGTAGGAGACTATAAGGGGAGTGATCTCTCAGCGCTGCCTGCTTCCCAAATCTGTACCCTGCTGCTATCCAATGCAGCTCCTCGTCCCAGTCCCGCTTCCTCTTTTCCCCGTACGCTCGCAGTCCCCGCTTCAAGGTCTGGACCAGTCGCTCAGTCAGCCCATCGCTCTGTGGGTGGTACCGCGAAGTGCGCCTGTGGGTGATCCCGGTCTCCTCCAGCAGCCCCTTAAACTCCCCTTGGAACTCTGTCCCTTGATCTGTTAGGACCTCTGCACATGCCCCGAACCTGCACAACACTTGTTCTTTGAACGCTGCTGCCACGTGTCTGGAGCTCTTGCTCGGGATCGCTCTTACCTCCAGCCACTTGCTCACATGTTCGACCATGAGCACTGTGTACTGCTTCCCCCCACGGCTCAGTGGCAGCTCCCCCGCCAGGTCTAAGGACCATCGGAAGCCGAGGCCTCGGATGGGCAGCGACTGCAACTCCGCCTTGGCTTGGGTGAGGTTTGCCCTGCTCCTTTGGCATGCCTCACAGCCCTCCACCCACCCCTTTACTTGCCTCCGCATCCCCTCCCACCACCACCCTGTCTTCAACAGCTGCACTGTCCTTTCGTGCCCAAAGTGCCCTAGCTTGTTGTGGACCTCCTTAATCACCGCTCCCCTCTCACTTGGAGCCGGCACCAGTTTCCATCCGTCCTCTGTCTGCACCTGCAACTGCTGCTGGTACCACCGGTAGTGCTGGCCCCTTGCCCTTACTCGTGCCGGTAGCGCTTCATCCTCTCCCGTCTCTCCCTTTACCCATCGCAGGGCCGGCCCGTCCTCCCATATGTCTGCTGGCCCCTTCCCCTCCTTGGCCCCGTTCTGCTCCACCAATCTGACCAGCAGTGTCAAGGTTACGGTGGGCTCAAGCGGTGGGGGGTTCCGTGAGAGGCCATCTACGTGTTGCAGTGTCTTTCCTGGCCTATGCCTGATCTTAAATTCATACTCCTGTAGCTTCATCGCCCATCTTGCATTCCTGCCCGTCAGTCCTGGGGTTGACATCAGCCACGTCAGGGGCTGGTGGTCAGTTACTAAGGTGAATTCCCTCCCCTGCAGGTACACCCTGAAATGCCCTACTGCCCATACGGCTGCCAACCCTTCTCCGATGTAGGAGCTGTACTGTGCCTCTGCCGAGTTGCAGCTCCTGCTCGCATATGCCACTACCTTCTCCTCTCTTTCTACCTCCTGGCAGAGGATCCCTCCCATCCCTTGGCTGCTCCAATCGGTGTAGAGCGTGAACGGCTGATCAGCGGCGGGCAGCTTGAGCACCGTCGCGGTCTTCACTGCTGCCATCAGGTCCTGCAGCGCCCCTTTCTGTGCTTCCCCCCACTCCCACGCCTGGTCCTCCCGCAATAGCACATTCAACACTGCTGCTCGCTTGCTGAAGTTGGGCACAAACCGCCTGTAGTAGCTCAAGAAGCCCAGCACTGCTCTCAGCCCTGACTTGTCCCTCGGCTCCCTCAGTCTGTCCAGGACTTCCACCTTGGCCTGTTGGATCCCTATCTGTCCCCCTTTCACCTCATACCCTAGGTACTGCACCGTCTGTTCCCCCCATCTGCACTTCTTCGGATGGCAGGTGAGTCCCGCCTCTTCAACCGCCGCTAGGGTCCGCTCAACATCCTGCAGGTGCTGCTGCTCTGTGGTGCTGAAGATCTCCACGTCATCAATGTAGCAGGCTGCGCACTCCACTCCCCGCAGCACGCTGTCCATGACCCTCTGGAATACTGCTGATGCGTTCCTCAGTCCAAACGGCATGTACAACCACTCGTACAGCCCGTCTGGCCCATGAAAGGCCGTCTTCCTAACGTCCTCCTCTCTGATTTTGATCTGGTTGAACCCCTGCCGCAGGTCCAGCGTAGTGAAGAACACCCCCTCTGCCAGTTTGTCAAAGATTTCCTCTGCCATCGGCATCGGGTACCTGTCTGCTACGGTGATTTTGTTGAGTGCCTTGTAGTCTCCACACATCCTCCTGCTCAGCACCTCCCCTGTCAGGTCTCTCCTGGCTGCCACCACTGTGGGTGTGGCATACTCAGACTCCGATCTCCTAATCAGTCCTGCTTCCAGCAGCTCCTTGATCTTCTCCTTGCAGATCTCCTCATCCCCAGGCGGCATCTTCCTCCTGCGCTGGAACACTGGTTCTGTGCTGCTCAGCTTCAGCTCCATCTCCTTCACCTTGCACCTTCCCAGTTCCTGCATGGTGAAGGCAAAGCACTTCCTGTGCCTGGCGAGCAGCTCCTGCATGGCCTCCTTTCCCGCCTTGCTCATCGCTTCCCCCACCACCCAGCTCCCCTCCTCCTTCTCCAGGCACCTCCATGCACCTCGTGGCTCCGCCTCCATCCTTCCTCTCTCTTCCGCCTGCCCCCAGCTCACGACCGTCTCCCGCCACATCCGCTGAATCAGCCACCTCATCACGTGGCCATCCATTGCATTCCCCAGAGCCCTCCTCCTGTCCGCTTCACTTGCCCCAGGCGTTGCTGTTGCATCTTCCTCGTATCCCATAGCCAGCTCCCGCTCCAGTGCCGTGGGCTCCTCCCATCTCCCCTTTTTGTGGTCATACACCATTCCTGGCCCCGGCATCCCTTCTTCCCACCTGTACCCTGCTGCCCCGACATACGCCACCAGCGTGGGCAGGGCCCTCCTCTCCTGCCCCACTTGGTTGCACTGCTCGTGCCTGCTGTAGCTCTTGTGACACACTGGCGCTGGGGTCCGCTCTGGTTCCAGGATGTCCTTCAGCTTCCTTTCTGCTGCTCGCCTTACCCCCTCCATCTCTGCCTGCAGTTGCTCGGCAGGGACCACATTCTGCCAGTACATTCTGAGCCTGTGCGCGTAGGACCCCATTCTGGCCGCATCACAGCTCACCCCTTCTCCCAGTTGTCCCCTGATCCTGTCCCTCACCAGTCGGATTGGCTCTCTGCTATCCCCCTCCAGGTCCAGGTTCTCCAGCAAGTATGCCACCCTGCCCTGCCTCTGCTGCAGCCACTCCATGATTCGAAACAGATCCTCCAGCAGCCCCGTCCTATGATCTTCTCCTCCCTTGCCCCTGCCTGCCCACGACACCCCTTGGCATTCCCACCCTGCCACCAGCAGATCCACCTGCCCCCAGCTCGCTACTTCGGCCTCGCCTATGTCTTTCACATCGTGAATCGTCCCCCCCATCGCCTTGCTGATCACCTCCTCACTCAGCAGGTCCGGGAATTCCGCTTGCAGCTTCTTGGCATGGTGCTCCGCCATCCTCCTTACCCTGGGTTCCTTCTCCACATATGTCCATCTCTTCACTGCTATCCCATTCCTCACCACTGCTGACAGCCCTGCCCCTATCCCCCCAAATAACTCCACCAGGTGGATGGGCTGTTGCCAATCACTCTGCTGCTGCGGCTTGTCCATCCTCTTCATTCTAGGCGCTCCTCCCCTCCCCGGCAGCCCTCCCTGCTCCCCTGGCAGCCGCTCCCCCATGGCCTGGTATGCTCTCTTCGGCTCCACCTTCACGAATCGCACTGGCAGTTCTCCTAGCGGCCCCTCCCTTTTCCAGTATCTGGTCCTAAACTCCACCCTCTCCATCCAAGTGCAGATGGTCATTCCTACCGCATACACCAGCTCGGTGCCCACCAGCACATCGAAGTCCTCTGACTCGGAAATCCCACACTTCGTGCGGATTTTGGTTTCATGTGTCCCCCCCGGTAGCAGCGTCACTTCTATGGGCGTCCGTGTGCATGGCATCCATTTCGGCTCCCCCCCTTCCGCTGTCATCACCAACATCCCCTTGGCCACGTGCCTTTCTGGAGCCAGCAGTCCCAGCCTCTCAGCCATCCCTCTACCCAACATCACGCTCTGTGCCCCCGTATCTATGATGGCTGTTGTTACTTTCACTCCCTCCACTTCCATGGCTCCCTTTTCAAGCAGTAGCACCGAGGTCTGGCATGCCAGCCTCTCTTGGGGTTGGCGTGCGGGGGCTGGCTCTTGGGCCGGCTCGGATGGCGCTTCTCCCTTCACCTGCTCCTTCCTTCCTTGCTCTCGCCTGCCATCTCTTCCCCCGCTTCTCAGCCCCATCTCCTCTCTCCCCCTCCATGCCATGAGAGCACACTGCACGTCCTGCTCGACCTCCTCTCCCCCCCCTTCTCCCGCGTACATTCCTGCCTCCGCCTCCCCTTTCAGCCCTGTTGCCCTCAGCTGTGCCTGCAACCTGTGAATTTGCCGCTGCAGCTCCTCTGAATGCCTCCCACTCCCCCCTTCCCTCTGGTAGCAATCCTTCGCCTCATGTCCCTGCCTTTTGCAGATTTCACACCGGGCTGCATCCGGGCATTCCCGCTTCCTATGCCCCGGCTTCCCGCACCCATCACAGTTTTTGCAGTCCCTGCGCAGATGGCCCGGCTGTCCACACCTGTAGCATGTCCTGGTGTCCGCCCCAGTCTCCCCTCGTCCCTCTGTTCTCCCTCCTCCTCCCGGTATTATGGCCGCCGCCCACGTTGGCCGCCTACTCCTCTCTGCTGGCCTGGGGAGATATGCCTCGAATTTCCTTTGCGCGAGCTCCACCCTCTTCGCCAAGGCGAACACCTCCTCCAGGCTTGCATCCGCTCCGAGCTCATACACCCTCATCCTCTGCCCCCCTCCTAAGGCCTCGTCCAAGCCCCCCAGGAACTTGCTGACGAGAAGGCTGCTGTCCGTGCATCTCACGTCCTCCGCCACATTTATCAGCCGGTTGTAATAGGTCAGCAATGATTCAGTCCTGCCCCTGCTGAATTCCTGGAACTCCCTTATGCGCTCGGCCGTGTGCCCTGGGAATTGCCGCTGCAGCCTCTCCAGGAATGCCTCGGTGGGGTCCTCGCCGTACCTCCCCGCCCTCCACAGCAGTTCCTCCATCCTCATACGGTAGAGCGTCTCGGCCTCTCCCTCGAGCGTGTTCGACAGGCTCAGAAAGAAGTCTACTGGATCCATGTGGTGCCGGTCGCAGCGGTACCGCACATTCCCCACCTGCATGAGGTAGTTCTTGAGGGTCGGTCCTGCACGCTGGTCACCTGAGAATCTAGCGGGCACCTCCACCCGTGGGGCGCCGTTGCTGCCCCCACGCCCCTCTCCCCATGCCTCGCTGGCCCCTTCCTGCCGACAGCTCTCTGTTCCCCTCACCCGTGCTCTCTGCATGCCCTCTCTAGCTTCCCGCGCCCGCTCTGCCCCTTGCGCCAGAGTTCCGCCTTCCGTTCTTCTCTTTTGGCGGCTCCCGCCTGCCTCGTACCGCCTCTCCCTCGATTCTCCTCGCCCCTCTGTCCGTCCCCACTGCACCGTCGGCGGTCCGTGCACCTCCCGCTCCTCCCATCTGCTCATCTCACGCCGCGGCCGCCTCTCTGGCGATGGTGACCAGGCGTCCAGGTGCTCACTCTAAGTGCGCGGCTGACGCCACGGTGACCGCTCCCCCGCGTACTTCTCCCTACGCGTGTGTTGTCCGTCCGGCGAGCGGGACCAGCTGCTGTCTCTCCGCTCCCTCTGCCTAGTCCGGCCTGGCGAGCGTATGGTGCTGCTGCGTCCCCCTTGCTGCTGACCGTGCCACTTCGGCGGCGCTGTTTCCGTCTCTCGCCCCTTCTCCCCGCGCTGCTGCTGCCGTCCTGCCGAATGCGAAGCGCCGCCGCTCCACTCTCCCTGCTCCTGGCGCTCGCCGCGCGGGCGGAACTCGCCCACGCGCCCTCCCCCGAGGCGCCGCTCCCTCTCCGCCGAGCGGGACCGCTCCTCCTTTCCCTTGCCGCGCGAATATGGCGCCTGCCACGCTCGATGGCTCATCTCTGGCCCGCCCAGCTCCTGCCGTCCGGAGCTCTCCGTGCGCCGCCCTTCCTCGTAGGGATCGTCTCGACCGCGCGATCCCGGTGGCGGAGCCTCTAATTCCGCGACCGCCACCGGGCTCGTCTCCGCTTGCGCCTCCGCCGGCTCGGTTTCCGCATCGCCCGTTCCTCCTGTTCGCGCCTCATTCGCCCCTTCTATCCCTGCCTTCTCGTCTGACCGTTCCGATCCTTCTTCCTTGTCCTCCACGCCCTGCTCCGGCGTCTCTTCTCGAACCGCATTGTGCGGCGAGTTCTCTCCGCGAGTGACGCTGCCGCCGCTCCCTCCTTGTCCGCGAGACTGCTCGCCGAACGCCAACCACCGCCCTCTCTCGTCGCGACGTCGTCCGCGCTCCTCCGGGGAGTGGAACACCCTTCCGCCGCAGTGGTTTCCGCCCTCCGCGCCAGGTCCGCGTCCGCTCTCCTGGAGCCACGCATCTCGATCCGCGCGTTCGGCGTGTCCTTCGTCATTCGTTCGCGCATCAGCTACTCGACCGTCCCTCACGACAGGGACCCGATCGGCGCGGAAGGCTGCATGGCGCGGCGATCGCTCCATGGATCGCCCGCGCTCTCGTGACGGCTCTCGGCGCTCCCGTTCCTCCACCCGTCGGCTATACGCCCTACCCCAGCGCAGCTCGTATCGATCCATCTCGTTCGTGCTAGGAAGTTACAGTCCTAGCCCCCGTGTCCGCTTTCTCGCTAATATGAAAGACGCTGATCTCTTTCACCCCGTAGGTTCCCTATTAGTGTCGTGCTGTCGTGTGCTAGAGCCTGAGACAATCAGTTTCACTAGTGCAAGGGAATATTAGCGAGAAAGCATCGATGGGTTGGAGGTGAGTGACCTTACCCCACCCCTGGCTGCACATTTCCAAAATGTGCGGCTCGGGGTTGGGGTTCGTTGGTTTCACATTTCGCCTTTCAGATTCTTTCCCCCTTTTTATCTCAACCGCTCTTATCCTGTTTCCCCCCTTCTACACCTTCGCTCCTAACAGTAACTTTACTACATCCTACACCTATTACCTATATTCTTATTCCTATCTCATCTTCCTATGGACTTAGGATGAAACCCACACTCCACCATCATTCTATTGTTATTGCATATGCATTAAGTGCATATGCGGTGACAGCTGCGAGCATACGCTGAAGATGGGGACTGAGGGATGGGGATGAGAGGGGAGGGGGGAGGAGAGGAGAAGGACGACGGCACATGTGTGTGCAGGTGCAGCGTGTGGGCCTTGAGGCTTCTGATGCGCTGCGAGCGCAGGTCAATGTGCTGGAAAGGGGAGATGGGATGGGGGGGGTTACATGGGTGATGGGGAAGGGGGAATGTGTGCAGGTGCAGCATGTTGGCCTTGCGGCTTCTAATGCGCAGCGAACACAGGTCAATGTGCCGGAGAGGGGAGGCAGAGGGGGTTGGGGAAAAGAGGAGGCAGGATGTCATCTCTGCCACCCACCGTGTCATCTCTGCCACCCACCGTGTCATCTCTGCCACCCACCGTGTCATCTCTGCCACCCACCGTGTCATTTGTGCCGCGCACATCAGGACCCGGCATCACCCGCAGCTCTCTAGGCGACACTCTTGCCCTGCCACCCAAGCTCCCTCCCCCTCCTCCTCCTCCTCGTTCTGGTGATGATACTGGCATTGATGCTCCCGTTGCTGCTGGTGATGATGCTCCTCTTGACCCTGCCAGTGATGATAACCGTGATGGTGATGGTAATGGTGACGGTGATAGCAATGATGGTACTGGAGACGCTGGTTGTTGTGATGGCTTGCTTGGTGATGCTGATGCTGATGCTGCTGCAGCGGATGAAACTACAGCTGCTGGTGTGACAGCAGGTGCTGTCACAAGGCTGTGCATGCTGGGAATCGCGTTAGGCATCGCAGCACTGGCTTCTGCTGCTTGCGTTGACCTCTCTGCTGTCTTTAGCGAGTCTGTCTTGCCGCCTTCCTCCTCCTCCTCCTTCTCCCATCCCTCCGCTACTTGGTCTTGATCTCTTGTCCCCGCCTGCTTGTCACCCCTAATCTCCTGCAGAGTGATCCCTTCATCCTCTTCTCTTTCCTCCACCACGCTTTCGTCCACCTCTCTTCCCTCCTCTGTTCTCTCCTCCCTTTCCTCCTCTCTTCCCTCATCTCTCCCCACCTCCAACTCCACACTTCCTACCCTATCTACAGCACTCACAGTGTCACCCATTCGATCACTGCCGGCAACAGCAGCATTGGATTCACCACCACCAGCAGCAGCAGCAGCAGCAGCAGCAGCAGCAGAAGTGAAGGTGCTGGTGGTGTTGACCACATCAGGGGAGGGATCAGATGATGAGGATGCACTGTTGACAGCAGGGGAAACGCCCTGCATACCCTCATAAATGCCAGGAGGAACCCCAGCAGCAGTCAGTGGGGGATCACAAGGCGCGGGCGTTGGGGCAACGACAGGGCTGCTGGAGACAGAGGGGTATGCAGAGGCAGGTGCAGAACCCAACGCAGAGGCAGAGGCAAATTGAGAGTGAGACGACTTTTGAGGCGCCTCAAAAACAGTCAGTGGGGGATCGCAAGGGGCAGGCGTTGGGGCAACGACTGGGCTGCTGGAAACAGAGGGGTGTGCAGAGTCAGGCGCGGAACCCGAGGTAGAGGCAGAAGCAGAGTGAGGCGCAGATTGAGATGCGGAGGTACTGTTGCTCCCTGTACCCATGCTCCTGCACGTGCCAGCCCCAGCAACAGCAGCTGCAGTGGCAGCGGCAGCAGCAGGTGTTGCGCGAGTGGCAGAGGCAGCAACAGGGGCAGCAGTAGGGGCGGTGAAAGTGGGGGAGGAGGTGAGGGAGGCGAGGTGGGAGCGGAGGTTGGCGGCTCGCCTGGCAAGAGAGGCGGCAGTGGGAGCAGCGACAGAGCTTGACGGGGGGGAATATGACGAGGCAGCCGCGTTGAAGCTCACACTGCTGCCAAAGGCTATCCGCCTGCGGGCACTCGCATTTGCACTCGCATTTCCTCCTGCCACTGACGCTGATGCTGCAAGTGATGGGGATGCGAATGCCGCTGTTGAGCCTACACGACTAGGGCTTATTCGTCCTCCACCCCCGCCCCCACTGCCTGCTCTATCACGTACTCCTCCCCCGCCAACACCTCCTGCTCTCTCTTCCGCCTTCCCCCCTGCTGCGCCATTTCGTCTCAAAGGACTTCCCCCGGCCCTCCCTGCTGCGCCACTCACACCCGCCCTATCCGCCCCCTCGAATCTCCCCCCTGCCTTCCCCGCAGCTGTTCCTGGCGCTGCATCCCTCCTTCCACTCGGACTCCCCACGCGCCCACTCCCCTTCCCTGCAACCACTGCTCTCTCCGCACTTTGCCCCACAGTTCCCCGCACTCCCCCCAAAGCTCCCCCCTGCACTCTCCCTTGCGCTCCCCCTTGCACTCCCCCTTGCGCCCCCCCCAGCGCCCCTGCCCTTCCCCTGATGCCCAACCACCCGGGATCACTCCACCTCCCAGTCACAGCTATGCTATGCCGGTCCAGGGATAAAGAACCCAAACCCCCCATCCCCCCGCCCCCTGCTTTCCTGCCCGCTAGCTCTGGGCTGTAACTGCTGGTCAGCGGGCCAATCCCGCTCGCCCAATCCGGTCGTTTAACGCTGCCCAAGCTGCCCGGACTGCCTCTCCTGGCAGGGCTGTCGGACTTGCCTCTGCTGCCCGGACTGCCCGTGTTTGCCCTCCTTCGCTCCTCTGAAGGCGACCGGCCAACCACCCCCTGCGCCCCTCTTGTTCCGCCTCCTCCGCTTCCCCCTCCCCCTGGTGCTATCCCCCTGGTGCCAGGGCCTGAGCGTGTGGGGGAGGCGAAGGCAGCGGAAGGGCGAGGGCTCTGCTGGCGGACTGACATCCGCCCCGATCCCCCTTCTACCCTTCCCCCTGCCCCTCCCCCTCCTCCCGCTCCCCCCGCCTCGCCCGTCTGTATCCGCGCCCCCACTCCACTTCCCACCTGCGCCTTTCCAATCACTGCTCTCCCCTTGTCACTTGGTTTACCGCCACCAATACCGCTCCCGCTACCCCTATCGCTCACACTCGCTACAAAGCTCCCACTCCCACCATTACTCCCCATGCCACTCCTCTTTATGTCCTTCAAACCGACCCTAATCTCCCCCGACCTATTCACTGCGCTGCTCTCCTCACTACCACTCTTTCCTTGCCCTCGTCTCCCCTCGTCTGCATCCGTTGCACCATTGGCCTCCCTCACACCTTCCGCAGGCTCCTTCCCCACCCACTCGCCGCTCCCGTTTGCCAATCCTCCGGCGGACGTTTCTTCTGGCGCTAAATCGGGCGCGAGTGAACTCACTGACGGCCCTGTTGACTCAGCACTCCGCTCCTCCCTATGCGGCGCCAATTCAGGCGCAACTGCCGCTACATGCGTTCCATCTGCTGTGTCCTCCCTTCTGCCACCCACGTCGCCAGCCCCGCTCTGCTCCGCGCAGACTTCCAACTGCGCAGCTACCCTCACGCTCTGCTCCCCGGCGTCGCGCGACCCGTTGGCTCGCGCAAAATTGACCTGGGACTCCCTCCCCTCGTCCGCAGCGCGTAGACTGACAGCTTCGCCGTCTATGCCGCCAGCGGATCGCAAGGCCTCCTCGTTTCCAGGTCGATCAGAACTTTCACTATTCCCGTTATAGTCTAGCGAGCCGTTAAGGTTTGACGCGCCGTTGGCCTGCGACGTGCGATTTATCCCCGCGCCGTTGCTCGCATCGCTACTTTGGCCGTCTCTTCCGGCGACACCACTAGTGAAACCGCCGCTAACGGCGGTGCTCTCGAGGTTGCTCGTAGTAAGGTCGCCGTCTCGAATGGCGGTACCGTTAAGGTCAGTGAGAAGATCGCCGCCTCGAATGGCGGCGGTACTCCCGAGGTCAGTGAGAAGGTCGTCGTCTGAGAGCTGACACGCGTCGTCGAACGCCGGGCCGAGACTCCATCGCTTTCCCTCGTTGTCTGAATCTAACTCCCAGTCGGCTTCCATGTTTAGCTTATACGTACTTCACCATGTTATGTTACAACTGAAAATGGGTGTGAGTTGAGCTCTGGGAGTCAGCTATCTGAAATGCCGGTTGGTCAAGTGTCTGTTCGGAGAATGTGAGCTTGGAACTGAACTGATGGTGCTCGCTTGAGCAATTCTACAGTAGGAATGCCAGGTCCCTGATTCAGCAATTCTTGAGCGAGGGGTGGCGTTGAGCAATTTTCGAGGAGGTTTATGAGATGAACTCGAGGGAGTTCGCGCAATTTTCAAGGGCCGCGGTCAGCCCCGCAGCACATCCTTGGGTCTGTCGGTTTTCCGTACGATGAGCGGGCAGATTTATGAATGAGAGCGCCAATGAATTGACGAAGCCTGTCACGAACTTTACATCCCAGGTGGCGAAAACTGACCGTAAGCACATAACCGAAAAAAATGCCCTGGGAAGGTTGCAGAATGGCAATATTTCAGTTGAAACTGGCTCATTGTTGGGTGTAGAACAATGGGCTTTGGAACATTTGGTCTACCAATATGCTGCATAATGTAAGGAAAAATCTTCTTCCTTACTTCGCGTCCCTGCTCAGCGCGTACTCCACTGTTCCCGCCAACAGCACCCAACAGTAATCCGTTACCAATCGCGACATTCGTCTCTACACTGTTCCCGCCACTGTTCACGACGCGACCCAACCTCACAGTTCGGTTGGTAAACCGCGTTCCGGACCTCCGCCTCGTCATTTCCCAACCTCGACGCCAAGCCCGTCGCGCACCCCACTTTCACGCATTACCGTTACCACTATAGTTTTCGCTATATATTCTTCGCTCCTGCCTTCGCTCATTATACTCTTGCTTCGATAGTGCAATTCTCGTTCATTCACTCAATTGCACTCATAACACTTGGTATCAGAGCCTACGATCTCTTCACGAACCGCACCCAAATCTTCGCTTCCCCACTGTCTCAATTTTTAGGGGGGGTAGACGTCTCTCAGCGAAACAAGCACCGCCGCTCGTAGTGCTCTCTCGTAAGCACGCACGTCCACGACAGAGGCTCTCGCTGAGCTTGCCCGACACCCTTGCCATGGCCGAATTCACTCTCGCGTCACTAACGCAAGAGCAACTCGACCGTCTCGTGCGCCAAATCGAAGACTCGGCGCTCGAAATTGCGACACTCACGGCGGAACGCGACTCCGCTCGTCAGCAATCCACGGTGAATGCTCGTGCAAACGCACCCGCACAATCGAAGGAGCCGATCGTCATTTCATCAGGCATACCGGCACAAAACGACAGCGTGGGATAGCGCTCTGGCGCAACCAGTCATGGCTCCGCTCAATCGATGCCTGGCATGGAGAGGAACAGGGCGGCGCCAAGCCCGCGGGAGCCTCGTGAAGCCCGTCGGCACGTGGAGTTTGCAGCGACAAGCGGCGACCACCCCATCATGGCACCAATGCCACTCAAGCCGCAACACCCGCCCTGTTTCGACCCGAGCCAGCACGGAGGTCTGACGATTCAGTCGTGGTTCTTCACGATGAACGCCTTTTTCTACGCGGACTATGTCAAGTCGGACGCAGCGAAGATCCGATATGTCGTCTCGTCTCGCTGCCGAGGGGCCCTGCCATGGACTAGTGGCAAGTCATTGTTGTCAGTAGATCTGCACTGTGGATGCCCGATTGATCCTGGAGAGGGTTACAGGCGCGTTTGCCTGGGGGGTTATGGGCGCACTGACCCGCTACTAAAACAAGCCCTTTTATCCCAATGGTCTAGTGGTTGGGATTCTGACATGGTATCAGAGCGGTCTCGGGTTCGATTCCCGGTGTATGCACATGTAGGCCGGTGCCGCTGTGCTTAGTCCTGGGCCTCCCAGTGTGGGGGGGTGTCAGTAGATCTGCACTGTGGATGCCCGATTGATCCTGGAGAGGGTTACAGGCGCGTTTGCCTGGGGGGTTATGGGCGCACTGACCCGCTACTAAAACAAGCCCTTTTATCCCAATGGTCTAGTGGTTGGGATTCTGACAATTGTGACATCGCTACACGCCTACGAGCCACCGTCGCAAGAGGAAGGGCACACGGGCCTAGCTGTCACCCAGAGTTAATTATGCGAAACCGCCAATACAGCACGTGGGACGCTTGGTGCGCAGGGCTTCGGGCGCGCTTCGAGCCGATCGCGGCTTCTATTTCGGTGCGTCAGAGACTGCGTACTTGGCGACAACTCGGATCGGTTCAAGACTATACGAGCGGTTTTCTCGCATTATCCAAACAAGTCGACTGCATGCACAAAGCGAAGCGGGTGGACCGTTACATCTAAGGGCTAAGCCGGGCATCTCGCACAAAATCATGCTACGCGGACTCTCGAATTTCAACGAGATTCTCTCGCTCGCCGAGGAAATCGACATTTTACGCTGTCCGAGACCGGGGTCCTACTACGGACATCGCCCTCGGGGACCGATCGAGCACGCCACTGTACATGCTGTTGCGACAAATGCAGCCGCCGGACCGTTTAAGGGGCGCTGCTTTGCTTGCAATAGGCCGGGCCATCGCAAGAGTGAGTGCCCAGAGTGTGAAAGAACGAGGAATGAATGCACTAGGAAACGAGTGGGTACAAGTAGGAAAACCTAAAAGTGTTGTACCCCATATTATCTACCCCACTACAGCCTACACAGACTATAGCATATAAGTTTGACACACCCCCATAGGCAAAGTGGGGGAGAACAAGAGATCACAAGACCAGTCAAGCAAAGCACAGTAAGCTCAGGGTGGATCACAACATCACCACACATTTCGAGCACAAGTTCAAGGCCACAAGGCCAGTTCACAGGCAATATTATATATAAAGGTAAACAAGCAAGTGCAGGTATAGATAGATCACAGTACAAGCAAGGTCAAGAAGTGAGCAAGTGAGGCCAAGTAGGCATAAGACCTAGCATCGTACAGAAGCGCTGATGATCACCACGCGAAAGCGCCTTGGTAAAGATATCAGCAGTGTTGGCCTCAGAGGCCACATAAGCAAGACGCAGCTGACCACGCTGCTGCAGCTCACGAGCAAGGAAGTAGCGGAGAGCAATGTGCTTCGTTCTGTGCTCCAATCTGTGCTCCCGACACAAGGCCAGCATGGCCTTGTTGTCTACGTACAGAACTGGAGGAGAACGAGGCGGCTCTCCTAGGTCACTCAGCAGGTAGGTGAGCCAGCGAAGCTCCTGTGCAGCCATGGCCCCTGCATAGATCTCAGCCTCACAGCTGGAGCCGAGAACAGAAGACGAACGGGTAGACCGCCACGAAACAGAGCCGGAACTAAGGCTGAAGGTGTAACCCTGCGACGACCGCTGCGTAGCCTGGTCGTCAGCCCAAGAAGCGTCTGCGTGACCTGTGAGGACCACTCGACGTCGCCCTCCAAGCACAAGCCCCATGCCTGAAGTACTGCACAAGTAGCTCAACACCCTCTTTGCTGCAGCCATGTGCTCTGGTCGGTGTCTCCCAGGAGCAACATAGCGTGCCAAGATGCTAAGAGGGTATGCAAGGTCAGGTCGTGTGCAGGTCATCAGGTACATGAGGCAGCCAACAAGCTTTGGGTACGGGCCACTCGGCTCTACGGACTCATCCGAAGGCAGAGCTGAGAGCGAGTGGCGAGTAGACAGAGGAGTCGCCTGAGGCAAGGAGTACGTAAAGTCGAAGCGCTGAAGGACCTGCTGCACCATGTGTGACTGTGTCAGGGTAATGGTGCGCTGTGCTCTGTCCCAGGTGATCTGCAAGCCAAGGTAGCTGCGCAATTCACCCAGGTCTGTGCATGTGTGTCTCTTCTGCGACTCTGACTTCACGTGGGTGAGTCCAGCAGTGTCAGCAGTGGCAAAGACCAAGTCGTCGACGTACACGAGGATGTAGAACGGCGGCAAAGAGGTGTTGGTGCGTAGAAACAGCGATGGGTCGGCAGTAGAAGGAGCAAACCCAAGAGCCGCAAGTGTAGTCCTCAGTGTGTTGTGCCACTGACGGGGCGCCTAGCGGAGACCGTAGACTGGCCGCTAGAGGCTCGACTGGGTACCAGGAGGAAACGACCCAGTGAAGCCACGTGGGCGTCGCTGCCAGATCTCCTCGTGCAGGCTACCCTGTAGAAAAGCAATGCTGAAGTCAAGAGAGTGAAGCTCGTAGTCACGCTGAGCGGCTATGTGCAGCAGCACCCGAAGAGTGGTCATCTTCGGGGTGGGAGAAAAGTTCTGAAAGTAGTCAACTCCCTGCCGCTGACTGAAGCCTTGAGCCATGTAACGCGCCTTGAAGACAGGCGGAGAACCCGGCGGCCGCTTCACCCTAAAAATCCACATGCCACTGATGATGTTCGCCCCAGGTGGGGGAACCTCGTCGACGTAGGTGCCTGTGGACTTCCAGGAAGCAATCTCTGCGTCCATGGCTGACTGCCACTATGAGGAGTAGGGACCCTCGATCGCCACAGCGTACAATTGAGGAGTCGGGATGTCTGGTGCATCCGGGTCTCCCTCGGGGGCAATCAGCATGGACACGAGATGAGGTAAAGCAGCAGCCAAACACTGGAACTCCTCTTGCCTGTCCTCAAGAACGTCCGTGCTAAGAGCACACTCACCCCCGACGGACGGAGGACAGACAGACTCAGACTCAGCAACAAGACTAGCGGCGTAGTCAAGACGACAGTGAGCAGCAAAGTCAACAAGCTCAGCAACTAAGGCAGACGCAGCAGTGGACTCAAAGGAAGGGTCAGTGACAACAGTAGCCAGGAGACGCGTGACAGTAGGACTGGCAGCACGAAGAGAGTCAGACACCAGGTCAGCAAGAACAGGAAGAGAGGACTCTGGAGGAGACGACAACGGGACACGCAGAGGAGCAGTGGAAGGACGCAGTGCCATCTGGTGTGTGCCTGGGACCGCAGGAGGACGCGGACGCGGAACACGACCACTAGTGCGAGCAGCACGAACAGGTGATGCAGGACGAGACGTAGGCTGACGACGCTCAGCAAGACCTCCAGTAGGACCAGTGTAGGGAGAGGGAGCATGCAG